TGATGACGATGCTATTGATGAGCATATGTCTTGTGTCTCTGAGACGGATGCTAATGCAGACCGAATCGACGCGACTTGTCTGACAGAACGGAATCATAATGACGATGATAATAATCTGGATGTCACTGATGTGACAAATGATTTGTCGACGTTGACGAATACTGATCAAACCTCTGTACCAGGAGATGGAGAGTTGAATATTGTTCCAATGTTATGCCACCTAGAGTCTTCGGGAGACGAGGAAACGTCAAAATCGGAGATCCAGCCCTTGCATATTATCTATGGGTCAAGAATTTCTGTTGATAAGTCAGCATCACGGGCTTCATCGTATCTGCTGTTTGGAGCAATGGGTGGTGGATTAACGACTCATCCCCATGAGGTGGAAAGTAAATCTCTAAGAGGATATGACCAGCTTTACGACGTGTTGCACATGTTCGTGTGGGTGAATTGGATAAGGTTTATACTACCGTTAGGTCATGCTACGATAGATAGGGGAATCAAGGACCTGATGGGAAGGTACAGGTTCATAGTTTGATAGGTCATATCCATGTTGGAGGGCAGGTAGGCGTACTGCTGTAAGTCCTACACGTTCTTCCGGTGTGGATTAGGGGATGAGAATGAACCGTAAATTGAAGTGTTAGAAAGGGCTTGATTTGCTTAGAGGGATATTGTGGGCCGGTGTAGAATTTATATTGAATGTTTGTTGTTGATTGCTTGTGATGCACATACTTGGATTGTTGTTATATATTTTTGTCGGTGAAAAGAACCAAGGTTCTTTTGGTCGGGAGTGTTACGGGAGAAACGAAGACATTTTGCTGATCAAAACCTTCATGTATAAATATCATTAATTTCACTGTTTTTTGGGTACATTTGTTTTACTTAACTTGTGAACTTGTTTGAATTATTATTTGCGGACATTTTGGACTCCCGTTTCTCTTTGTTGTTCGTTTGCAGTTTTTTGCTCCAAGAGCTAATAAATTAGAAGGTAATTGTAATTATTATAATTATTGTTGTTAGAACGACATTGGTCGTCTATTTGTAATACAGTATTTTGGTCGAATTTGTGATTTGGAATAAACTTTGGTATCTACAACACTGGATATGAAGACATCATTGGACGACATGGACTGGGAGAAAGGAACGAAAACGGTGAGAGATTTGCAAACCTATATGCCTTCAACAAACTGGTCATCGGTGGCACAATATTTCCGCACAAACACATACACAAAGATTTCATCGGACCACACTGCTCAAAACCAAATTGTTCATATCTGTATCAAAAAACGTTCAGAAGGACCACGGAGGATGTGAGAACCAAGAGAGGAGCTGATCGCCAAAATGAAACTGAAACTAAAGAAACACTGGACAACTGGGCAGACAACATCACAAAAGTTCAATACAGCCTTTCTTCGGGATACCGTAAAACTCAACGAATTCAAGATAGCCCTCTCCAATAGGTTCCAGGCCTTTCAGAATATACTCAATGTAGAGGAAACAACCTTGCAGAACAATTGGAAGGGAATGAAAGAGGCAATGTCACGAAGTTCTGAGTCACAAGAAGTACCATCACAATGAATGGATCTCTGTTGATACTCTTGCAAAAATTAAAGAAAGGAGGAACAAGAAGGAAGCAGTGAATGTCAGCCGAACAAGAGCAGAGAAAGTTACCGCACAAGCTGCATACACAGAAGCAAACAGGGAAGTGAAGAAGAGCATCAGAGCTGACAAACGAAAATATGTGAAAGATCTAACAATGACGGCGGTTAAGGCTGCAAGAGAAGGAAACTTGAGACAATTGTACGAAACAACAAACAAGCTGGCCGGAAATTATCGTAAACCTGAACGACCAGTGAAAAGCAAGGAAGGCAAAGTAATCAGCAACACTGAAGAACAGCGACATAGGTTTGTAGAGCACCTTCAGGAACTCTTGAATCGACCAGCTCCACTGAACACACCCAACATCGACGCAGCATCCACGGACCTCCCAATTAATATTGGCGCACCTACGATTGAGGAGATCAGTATGTCCATCAGACAAATCAAGAGCGGCAAAGCAGCAGGACCAGACAACATTCCAGCAGAGGCAATCAAACCAGACGTGGAAGCAACTGCAAAAATATTCCAAATTCTCTTCAACAAGATTTGGGATGAGGAACAAGTACCATCAGATTGGAAAGAAGGATACCTGATCAAAATACCAAAGAAAGGCGATCTCAGCAAGTGTGAGAACTACAGAGGCATCACTCTTCTTTCGATACCAGGCAAAGTCTTCAACAGGCTATTGTTAAGCAGAATGAAGGACTTCGTAGACGCCCAACTTCGAGATCAACAGGCCGGATTTCGTAAGGATCGATCGTGTACTGACCAAATTGCTACATTACGGATCATTGTGGAACAATCAATTGAATGGAACTCACCACTCTACATCAACTTCATCGACTACGAAAAAGCATTTGATAGCGTGGACAGGAAAACACTGTGGAGGCTTCTTCGACACTACGGTGTGCCTGAGAAAATGGTCAACATCATATGGAACTCTTATGATGGATTCAACTGCAAAATCGTGCACGGAGGTCAGCTAACCGACTCTTTCGAGGTGAAGACCGGTGTGAGGCAAGGTTGCTTACTCTCATCCTTTCTCTTTCTCCTGGTCATCGACTGGATTATGAAAACGTCAACATCTGGAGGGAAGCACGGTATCAACTGGACAGTTAGGACGCAGCTGGACGATCTGGACTTCGCAGATGACCTGGCTCTTCTATCGCACACTCAACAACAAATGCAAGAGAAGACGACCAGTGTAGCAGCAGCCTCTGCAGCAGTAGGTCCCAACATACATAAAGGAAAAAGCGGAATTCTCCGATGCAACACAACATGCACCAATCAAATCACTCTTGATGGGGATGCCTTGGAGGACGTTAACACCTTTACATATCTGGGCAGCATCATTGACGAGAAAGGTGGATCCGATGCAGATGTGAGGGCACGGATTGGCAAAGCAAGGACTGCATTTCCACAGTTGAAAAATATCTGGAACTCCAAACAACTTTCAACCAAAACCAAAATTAGGATTTTCAATACAAATGTCAAGACAGTTTTACTGTATGGAGCGGAAACTTGGAGAACTACCGAAGCCATCATCCAGAAGATACAAGTGTTTATGAAAAGTTGTATACGCAAAATACTTCGTATTCGTTGGCCAGACACCGTCAGCAACAACCTACTGTGGCAGAGAACAAACCAGATTCCAGTGGATGAGGAAATGAGGAAGAAGCGGTAGAAGTGGATAGGACACACATTGCGGAAAGCACCTAACTGCGTTACAAGACAAGCAAGGCAAAAGGAAAAGAGGAAGGCCGGGGAACACGTTACGTCGATAAATAGAGAAAGATATGAGAAGAATGAACAAAAACTGGACAGAACTGGAGAAGGAAGCTCAGGACAGAGTTGGTTTGAGGAAACTGGTTGGCGGCTCCATTGGGGATAGCAGGCGTAGGTAAGGAAGTAAGTTGGTAACACTGGTATAAAAACAGACTCTGTGAAACACAGAACTGTTTTTGGAAAGGCCAGTCCTCTTCATCTAATCTTCTCACAGCATAGGGCAGCTGGACAACCTGGTCATGACCAAAAGTTATCAGGCCATGTAATATCCTTTGACTTCGCAAAGGCTGTCGACATACCACCGCATCTACTTGTAAGTGCTAATGTTGTTATCTTGGTTCCAAAACTACCCAGCTGGTGAGTCTCAACATCAGGAGTTTCAAAAGAAACAATCTTAGGTTCATACCTCTTCCTGACCTTTGTGAATGATATACTAGATAAGATTAACCCAGCCGCAGTTAACTGTACAAGCAACGCTAAAGTCTGTAGGTCTGTAAGAAAGGAAGAGGATTCATTAGAGCTTCAAAATAGTACTCATAATTTATTCCCAAATAACATGTTACAAAGGGCATGCCTGTTTACAGGCGAGACCAAAATGTTGAAATCGCTTATAACATTTTGATCTTGCCTGTAAACTGGCATATCTCATGTAATATATTGTTGTTTGAGAAAAAAGATTATAACAATATTTTTGATGTTATTACTGATCTACCCGACACCATCAACCTCCTCGTGATAACCGACGAAAGCACATCTATTAGCGAACACTCAGGTACGCGCACATTTTTTTTTCATCAAGAGTTGTCCTTGCTTGCAATGCTCTCCCAGCCGGAATGAATACAGCCCTCTCAGTGGATAGCTTCAAGTAGAGACTTGAAAAACACCTATTCATAAGTGACTATCATCTCCCACTTGGACCGGTTGTGTCTAATGCATGTCTCAAAACTTGCCTTTTATTATCATCATCAGTACTTCATATCACTTACTCATTCTATCTCGTTCATCATTATCTCTCCTCTTTCCTTAAACTTCAGTCCACGCACACTATCATAACCGTCAGTTAAATAACACATTTATGTATATACTAAGTTCTGAAATCTTTTTGTGGCGGATCAATAAAATTATCACCATACAAACAACGATAAGGTTATTTCAAAAGGAGCATGGAACAATGAATTACACTCTAATATACATAAACTTACACACAAAAATAACATAGGACGTTACTTGGATTGATTGCAGGATGCGTGTTCCAGATTTTTCGATCTTACGATCCATAATTCTAAAAGATTTATTGAATATATATAATTTAAAACGATGCAATTTGGGAATAATACGATAATGAGGTCGTTATGACTTGTGAATGTAGATGTCAGTTATAATCGATATCCGTCCCTCTGGTAGTTGATCAAGTGAAAAAGAAGTGTTCAAACAGTAGTGAATTTGAGGGAACTAATTGATGTTACACGCAACTAAGTAATCTCGGATCTGCTAATGTGACAGCTGCTGGTCTCCGGAAACCCTCTCCCTCACCGTAAACTGAGTAGAATGGGCTCATTTGATTGGCTCCATTGTACACTGCCGAATACACGGAACTGTATCTAAGTAAAACGAGGAGGCGGCAAACATACATTACGAAACTGTGATGGACGATCAAGATGAAATCATACTGATATTTCATTTTTAATCCTTATTTATTTTTAGATTCTTAGCTTGAAAGTATTTGCGATCCACCACTAATAGATATGTAAACCTGCTTAGCAAAATCTTGTTTTCTTTTCACAACCATTTAATTAGATGTCTTCCAGGCGCGGTATTTAAGAACTTTTCTGGTATGCGGTACCTCAAGAGCTTGGAGGGGGTCGTGAGATGTAGGACTATTCCGTTTAGTTGTGAGAAAAGTGATATCGTGAGTGTCGTGCCTTACAAGAAAAATGCTCTCCCACTGGCGCCTACTGTTAAGTCTTCTCACAGTCTACTACAGTCACTTCCGTGCTCTCCGTTTACTTCGTGCACTTGCAGCTTATCTGGTAATTTATATGTATTTGCAGAGTATTCGTATTAGCCCCAATGCAGATCCGATTCGCCCACACTGACGTTGTGAATGTTCCTGATTTCACGAAGTACCGCACCGATTATACAAAAGACCCTCATGCACGGGCCGCTGACAGTGATATGCAGCGCAAGATATTCACTTATACGACAATGTTTGGTAAGTACCTTTTATCAGAAAATTACATCCAGATCACTGAAGCATCTATAAACTTTATTTATACTATTCCGGTCTGTCAGTCAATGCTTGGTTTATGAGTTTTTAGACACCTATAGAAATCACCTTCAGTCAGTCAGTCACCTTCATAGATCGAGCCACATAAAATAACACCTCAGTAGCTTTCCAACAAAAACAATAAGGTCCTATTAGCTTCAAGTTAATCTTTCAGTGTTGAAATCGTCATAGAACATCCGTGGTACCATTTTTATGTCGTCTGGAATGTCGACAATATAAATGTACTGGCCCACCTCTTACTGTCCATGATTGTCGACTGCTCATAACTTATGTAAAGTTAATATGTTCAGTTCGTCACCTGAACAAAATCTTAGCTTCGGTAGTTGAGGGAGATATCTTGACTACTTTACAATAACTTTTTACTCATTGCCGACTTTATATATATATTTTTGTTGATTGGGATGTATCTGTCAAGTGAACTTTTATCTAATTTTGTACACAGTTTTCTCGATTTTATTAATCCAGCGACTGCAGTCATTGCCACTACATCAGCCAAGCATACTGTAAAAATGCTCGTTAAACCTTTGGGACCTTCATCCAAAACGTTGGCTGAGGCTTCGATCGAGGTCAATTTGGCTGATATCCCAGAGGGGAAAAATGTTACACTCAAGTGGCGAAATAAGCCTCTTTTCATTCGCCATAGATCGACAGAAGAAATCGAACGTGAACGTTTAGTTCCTTTGGCTGAATTACGACATCCAGAGAAAGATGAGGATCGTGTAAAAGAAGATAAATGGCTCATTTGTTTAGGTATTTGCACTCACTTGGGTAAGCATAACGTTTTAAATGTTTACTGTCAACACAGTATCAGTCGTCTTTGCTTTATTGTAACTTAGTAGCTGTTTATAGGCTGAGGTCATTCATTTAATGTTCACGACAGGCTGTAAAAGTATAATTTATCTGGGGAGTCTCATCAGTGCCGATGGACTGGTGACTGACGAAATCTCGGCTCGGATGCAGAAGGCTCGATTGGCTTTTGCCAACCTGCGTCACTTATGGCGTAGGCGTGATATCCGTTTGCTGACTAAAGGACGAGTGTACTGTACAACAGTTCGCTCCGTCTTACTTTATGGCTGTGAAACATGGCCAGTGAGAGTAGAAGATATTCGTAGGTTACTGGTTTTCGATCATAGGTGTCTTCGAAGCATTGCTGGTATATCCTGGGACACCCGAGTGAGCAACGTTGTTATTAGGAATCGGGTGCTAGGTAAGAATGGCAGATCAATAGACGCAGTAGTGACACTTCATCAGTTGAGGTGGTTGGGACATGTGTTGTGGATGCCCAACCACCGACTGCCACGTCGTGCTCTGTTTCGCGATGTAGGAGTAGGTTGGAAGAAAGTTAGGGGCGGCCATACCAAAACACGGCAGAAATCCATGAAGTCACTGACAAGTGGACTGAGCCAGGTCGGTAATTGTCGACTACCTGGTTGGGGTCCGCGAGATGATAATAATCGATGGTTAGAGACCTTGAATGACATGGCTCAAAATCGTTCGCAATGGCGCCGGTGCATTTATTCTTTGTGTTCTCTCAAATCCTAACCTTCTGGATTCTTCAACACCTCTAGTTTCGACTCTCTAAACTTTTCTCACTGAATTATATTTCTTGAATATCTTCTAACCCTAACCTCTCCGATTACTTCTAATGCCTTTACTACCTCTACTACTATTGGATTTGAATTGACAATTACATGTCTGTGCTGATGTGGTATGGCGACATGAACTGATGTACTTACGTACGAAGTTCTAAGTTGCATCTGACTGACTGACTGACTGTAAAAGTATTGTTAGTCGCAGTGATGCTAAAATGATGTTAAAATTGGATACTAATTGAAGTGTTTTGTCATCCAAAAACTAATAAGATCATCAGTCAAGTTATGTAAGATTAGGATTGGCAGTTAAATGTTAATCGAATCACGAAGAAAGAGAAGAAGAGATCTTAAAACATGTAATAATGAATTTTCTTCTGCTTACCTCTTCCATAAAATGTTTATTTGTGAAAACTATCTCCAACCCCGTACTATGTAACGACTTCACCTGCCAATGGTTATGAGAAACTCGGTCAAAATGCATCATATTAAAACTGTTGCACCGGTTAGATAACACGAATTTAGGCGACATTCCAGAAGAAGAAGACCACCGATACTTCTAATTAAAAGACAACACTTCAGTAAACAAATTAGATTAATGTTGGTGTATATTCATTCGACAGTAGTTGTTTCATAGTTGGTCCTGTATTAGTAAACTCACGGCAACTAGTAATAATAACTCCGTTAAGTTTTGAACTAGTGATAGGGAGTGAAGTAGTCGAACGTGTAGACCACTTCACTTATCTTGGGAGTCTCATCAGTGCCGATGGACTGGTGACTGACGAAATCTCGGCTCGGATACAGAAGGCTCGACTGGCTTTTACCAACCTGCGTCACTTATGGCGAAGGCGAGATATCCGTTCTCTAATCAAAGGACAAGTGTACTGTACAACAGTTCGCTCCGTCTTACTTTATGGCTATGAAACATGGCCAGTGAGAGTAGAAGATATTCGTAGGTTACTGGTTTTCGATCATAGGTGTCTTCGATGCATTGCTCGTATATCCTGGGACACCCGAGTGAGCAACGCTGTTATTAGGAATCGGGTGCTAGGTAGGAATGGCAGATCAATAGACGCAGTGGTGAAACTTCATCAGTTGAGGTAGTTGGGACATGTGTTGCGTATGCCCAACCACCGACTGCCTCGATGAGCTTTGTTTTGTAGTGTAGGAATAGGTTGGAAGAAAGTTAGGCGCGGCCAAATCAAAACATGGCAGAAATCCATGAAGTCATTGACGAGTGGACTGAGCCAGGTCGGTAATTGTCGACTACCTGGTTGGGGTCCGCGAGATGATAATAATCGATGGTTAGAGACCTTGAATGACATGGCTCAAAATCGTTCGCAATGGCGCCGGTGCATTTATTCTTTGTGTTCTCTCAAATCCTAACCTTCTGGATTCTTCAGCACATCTAGTTTTGACTTTCTAAACCTTTCTCACTGAATCATACTTTTTGAATAATATCTTCTCATCCTAACCTCTCCGATTACTATTAATACCTTTACTACGTCTTCTACTATTGGATTTGAATTGACAATTACATGTCTGTGCTGATGTGGTATGGCGACATGAACTGATGTACTTACGTACGAAGTTCTACGTTGCATCTGACTGACTGACTGACTCCGTTAAGTTCGTTTCCTTTCTGAAACTACAAACAGGTCATTTGTGTAATTTGTTGAGCTCTCAAATTTGAGTATCAAGTCTATCGGCTAGTGTCGAAGTATTACAAAATTTTTGACCTAGTGGTATTGCTTGCACCTGAACGGCAAATCAGAAAGCTATTATCTCGGCAGAATGCTTAACTGACTTGGTACTCGGTGTTAGAGGCGACGCAAGTAGGAATACGAAAATGATAGACGAGAGTATTAGCGGTAATAGAGAAGACTAGGGATCGGAAATAGGATTCGATGAGTATAATCCATTGATGTAAATTTAAAAGCAGAAAAAAGGGGATGAGAAATTCAGATCAGAATTTGAGAGAATATAAAGAGTGGATGCACCTGCGTCAATGCAGGCGATCCTGAACCGTCATCCAATGTTTCTAACCATTTATTATCGGGTCCCAACCAGTTAGCCTACATTTACCAATATGACTCAGTCCACTTGTCAGTTACTTCATGGATTTCTACCATGTTTTGGTTTGGCCGCCCTTAGCTTTCATCCAACCTATTCCTACACCGCAAAATATAGCTCGACGAGTCAGTCAGTCAGTCGGTGGTTAGGCATACGCAACATATGTCCCAACCACCTCAACTGATGAAGTTCCATTACTTCATCTATTGACCTGCCATCCTCACCTAGCACCCGTTTCCTAATAACAGCATTGCTTAGTCGGTTGTTGCATGATACACAAGCTATGCTTCCAAGACATCTACGATCGAATACCAGTAACCTACGAATATCTTCTACTCTTACAGGTCATTTTTCGCATGCATATAGTATGACGGAGCAAAGTGCTGGGCAGTAGACTCGTCCTTTGTTTACCAAATGGATATCTCACCTACTCCATAAGTGACGCAAGTTGGCGAAAGCCAATTGAACCTTACACATCCGTGCTGAGATTTTGTCACACACCAGGACATCTGCACTGATAAAACTCCCCAGATAAGTGAAGCGGTCTACACGCTCGACTACTTCATTCCCTTTCACTGGTTCAGGTTACCAAACATCAGCATATTCTAAGTCAACATGTGAACCTCTTGGTGGGAGGTCAACTCCTGAAAAGTCAGCACGTTAATAAAGAAGTTGGATGAGAATATGTAGATCAGACAGCCCTGACGGACACCACCTGAAGTAAAGAATTCTGATGTCGGTACGCCATAGGCTCTCACTCGACCAATGGTGTTCGGAAAGGTAGCTTGTATAAGGTTAATGTACTTCTTTGGTACACCTTTCAATGACAGACACTAACACAGAACCTCACGATCAACATAATCAAATGCGGCCTCATGGTCGAGAAATACTACTACTGTGGAACGTTTGAACGTCTATGTTCTAGGAGCTGACGTAATGTGAATATCTGGTCCTTTCTTATGAATTGGGACAATCAACGATTAAGACCAGTCAAATGGGATAACGCTCATTTCCCAGATTCCACCTAAGATCTCAGAGGTAAGCCTATCAGGCCCTGCTGCTCTACCTCGCTTTAGACTTCCTATAGCTTTTTAAAGTTCATAAAGACTTGGAGGACTTCTATCGATTGAATATTCAGGATAACTGGGGATCGTGGGCAACCGATGTGTGGCTGAAGACCGGTTGAATTTGTCCCTAGAGTGTGCTGCCCATTGACCCGATCTCCTAGATTGAGAATGAATGATACAGCCATCCTTTTCTGAGAAATTTTTGCTAACAGATGGATTTCTAATACCGGTTTCCTTTATAAGGCGGAAAGGTCCGCTGTTACCTATCACCACTGCCTTTTCTATCGCTCTTGCTTTCGCTAACCGCCACTGTTCGCGATCATTGAGAAGGCTTTTTATCAGCCTGCGCTTAAGCTGACTTCGCACTTCATCATGTTCAGAGTCAGGTGAGATGAGTTTTTGAGCGTGTATCAGTTCGGTGGATGCAACTGAGATCCACCGCTTCTTCCTAGCCTGATGGTTTACCTTACTAGCGGATATCACTGATGTTTCCACAGCCTTTTGGATATCATTCTAAGCTGCTCCGGATGGGAATCACTTACTACATGGTCGCCTAACTGTTTTTCTAGTCGTTCTTGAAATATATTCTTAGCTTTATTATCATTAAGTAGAACCCTAAGATGTTTTCTTGCGGTGTCTTTCCTACGTCCAGTCAGTCGCTGAATCTACCTACTTGAGCATTGAAGTCACCAGACATCATTACTATATCAGAGCGCCTAACTTTATGTAGGAGGTCCGAAGCTTTCTGTAAAACTCATCTTTCACCTCGTCTGAACTGCAGTCAGTGGAGGCGTAGGCAGACACAACGCAGAGGCAACGACGAGTGTCCCTATCTTCCTGAGTCCTTACTGTCCCATTTAGTCGGACAGTGCACAAGCGACTATTTACTGGGATCCAGTCTAGGAGAGCTAGTTCTGCCCTAGGACTCAATGCTATACCTATACCAGCGAGACCCCTGGAGGCAGCAGCAGGGCTTCCAGATATACTAGGAGTAAATCGAGCTGGTTCCTTATTCTAACATGGTGAGGTCAACTGAATGACGCTACTCGGATCCTGTATGCGTGTTTCAGGGACGCAACACACATCGACAGCAGGGGATTCCAGAGTCCTAGCTTAGGAAGCCTGTTGTCCTATTCGACTCAAGGTACGAACATTAAGAGCTCCAACATTGAGTTTAGAAAGGGGTTTCAGGAGACCAGGAAGAACGTTTCGGGAACTTGCATCGTTTGCATTAGCAGTGCGAGTCGATGAAGGAATGTGAGAAGAGTCAGTCGTGGAGATAAGGGAGATGTTAGGGGGTGTAGGAAGGATTTGATTGTGACCAATTTGGTCTCCTGTGCTGTTACGGGTATGAGGGCTACCCACACTGTGGAAGCGTGTTTCTTGAAGAACCTGAAGAGAAAGGCAGATTAATGTGGGTCTTAGAGACCTGAGAGCGTGACCTCAGAGTCCAAGGGACAACTGCTTGAGGCCGGTCACGCACGGCCTTTTTATGAGAAGCTTTTTGATTATTAACTCCGCTCTTGAAGGTCCTTATCGGGAAGCCCTTACCGACGGAGACGGAAATCGCTGCAGATGATGGTTGTCCGAGGGAAACATCTCTCTACAGTCAGCAGTACGACTTCGCCCTCAGACCTTGAGTAGCTGCTTTTAGTCTTACCGTTCTCCCATCGACCTACCTGGCATGGTAGAACCGAGCCAATTTAGCTCCGTTGAGTCATCACGATAGGCAAGCTCGACTACCTTGTCAAGGTAGCAGCTACGGTCGGGAATTATTTCTGCGTTCACAATAGCAAGGTTGACTGAAAATGTAGAAACTAATTGGTTCCATTCATTCACGGGATCCTTGCTAATCTTGAAATAACTAAGGAAGCAATCTTATTATTTCCACATCCACTTGATTCACTGTTCCTTCAGACAGTTTATGGTGGATCGCACTTATGAGGTCTAGACTACTTGTAACGGAACATAACCTTTGTCAATTTCATTTTGTAACGTTTATGTAGTATGGTATTGCCAGCCACTGTACATTTCTTTTAAGTCCTGTCCTCGATTAAATATTGCTTCCAAATTAGCTTATTTTAATCAACAAGCTCAAATGTTCTTCCATGTGAGTTTTCACATAATTAACTAATAGCTAAATACAGTGTTAACCACTAAAGTATTGAGTTCCATTTATTAATTCTTTTCGACTATCATTTCATAGTATGGTTTTGTGGGTTTCTGATGTCAAGATCACACTTATGTTTAGAGTATTTTCGATGCTTTCCCCTAAAGCTGTTGCCAAAAAGGTATGTCTACTGAATCGATTAGAGTAATTATCTAATTGTTCGCTCATTCTTCGAATACAAAGCATACCACTTCATAATTCTTGTTTTCTTGATTATGTAAGTTACTATGTAATACACATGCCATTTAGGTAAAACTTAAGTGATCACCATACAAAGTACTTTTCGCGGTATTCACATGTCTTAAGTACGCGTGCATTACTAACAAAAGTATTGTGCTAATATGATTTGTTTATGACATCGAGATACTTCCGATATTTGTGATAAGGTGCCATTTATTTTAAAATCTGTTAAGTTTAGGAATTAGTTTACCGCTAAGACTTATGGTTACCCTAGTATTTCCCCTCATCTATATCTGTGATTGACTAGGGTCTAAAATGAGGTAAAGATAAAATACTACAAAACTCTGAATATTAAAGAAAGATATCAAAAATCATGTGAGATTGTATAGACTTCCTTGATATTTTTATGTAATCATGTTAGTAAACATGCTGCCTCATTTGTTACGCGTTTTAATTGTTAAAACTTCTACAGGTTGTATTCCAATAGCACACGCAGGCGATTTCCCTGGAGGTTATTACTGTCCTTGCCACGGTAGTCATTATGATGCATCTGGTCGAATCAGGAAAGGCCCTGCTCCACTTAATTTGGAAGTACCTGAATACAAGTTTGTGGATACAAATACCGTTATTGTGGGATAAACTGCTCTCCCAGTCTCCTCGTTTGGAATATTCATTGTAGCGATATCTTCCTTTTTCATAACAGAGAACGCTTCTAATTTTTATGGAGTGTATTTTTGAGAGGTACTGATTTATCTTTTCGTTTCGTTGTTAGAAGTTTCATTTTCAAATAGTAGTATATTTGTACGCCTGATATGGTTATTTTAACAAATTATTTCCGAGTATAAATAGAATCGTCTATGTACTTAATAGTTAACCTTTATCTAATACTCCACTGGCAAGTGGATTGAGTCATGTTGGTAGGTGTCGACTACCTGGTTGGTACACGCGAGATGATAATAATCGATGGTTAGAGATCCTGAATGACATGGCTCGAAACCGTTCGCAGTGGCGCAGGTGCATCCACTCTTTGTGTTCTATGAAATTCTAACTTTATGAATTGATCATCACCTCTATCTTTCTCTTTCTAAATTTACCTCACTCAATTATACTTCATATATATTATCCTCGAACTCTAATCGCTCCAACTGCTTCTAATACTTCTACTATCTCTACTACTATGGCATTTGAATCGACAGTTACATCTCTGTGCTAATGTGGTATAGCAACTTGAACTGATGTACTTACGTACGAAGTTCTACGTCGCTGTTGATGATGATGATATCTGGTACGCCAGTCTGCTAGTTATTCCTTGAATTCAGGTAGAAGTTTGTGCTGATGATATTGTTGAGAAAAACTGAGTTTTAAAATCAAACCATCCATTTCGGAGCATGAAACCCCTTCGAAACTTTTAACCTCGTCTGCAAATATTCCATTTCAGAACCTATGACTCGATACAGATTCGTGTACTTGGCAGTACATGTGAGTGCTAATGATACTACCAATTTACCCAAACCAACATAGGTGATGTGAGATCCAAATCTGTGGCTTAGTGGCTACAAGTCAAATGTCGTGACCACTTGTCACCGAGTTTTTTATTATTGTTAGTTGAGTACCTAAGCTATTCACTTAATGTTATTGATGAATTAATGGCCAAATATGTGAGGGTATGGCATTTATAATACATTAATGTGTGTATCTATCATTGTCGAACGATGAATCATGTTTTATACATCCATGTACTTCGATGTTGGTGTATTCAATTGATGTATATTAAATGATAACGACCTAACACTTAATTTATACAACATAATTTATGGTACTATTAACTTTGATACCGTCAAACCCAGTTAACTAACAAATTAATTCAAAAACGTCTTCAGGTTGGTAATGGCTTGTTAGTGACTGAAATCATGTCTCATACCATTGGGTATCATTTATCGTATGACAATGACTGGGTGAATAATTTTAACAACCGATTATGCTTAATTTTCATTAGCTTTCAATGGTTGTACATTAAGTAGATTTCCATCCAGATACCTACTGAAGTATATTTGAGCGCATACTGCTGACAAATTTGTAGGTAACGTTGATTGCCCCACTTGAACTCTCTAGCTAACCCTATTTTAAAATGCCTTGATGAATATCTCTGAGCAGAATAAACTCCGTTAAGTCCTCTTTTTTTTAAACGAAAAGCCAGATTATGTAATCCATGTTTAACATCAATTTTTTAAATATTAGGATAACTACTCGATTTGTTTTTTAATAGTTTTGTAACATGAAGTGTTAAAACAAACAAGACAAGAAAGGGAACTAAGTGTATAAAGTGTTGTGATCATCTAACTGTCTAGTTCAACAGCTTTATTCTGTAGTTCCTTGTCTAATAGACTTGGCTTTATTCTTTGTTTGACACCACAAGTTCCAGCATAGACTTTGTGAAAAATTAGATTTGTGATATGCAACGCAAAACTTTGTATGAAAAAAACATTCACTTGGCCAATTTCTTGGTAGCTATTTTATTTTAGAATCTTTGCTCTCACACAATTCTTTTACGTGTTATTATTTAGGAAACTGGAATCCATACCGTTCCGTTCTACTCCAAGCTCCTAACTTTAGCGGTATAAAATTACAAAAATCACTTACATTTAACCGTGGGCAACAATTTCAAAGTTAAGGAATTTCTAAAATGATGTTAGCACAATACTCACTTCCATAACTTTACTCACAGGTGTCATTCAACTAGTGTGTAGTTTTTTTGGATTACTGCATATCTTCTAAGCGCCATTAGTTAACAACTACTTGCAACTATATATAGAAAGTGGGAAGATTTGTAGCTCATGTAGATGTTTTTTATAAAGCTCTGAATTGGGTGGTCTAATGCTCAACTATCGTTGCCATTCTGGACAACATCAACAGCGCTTATCCCAAGTAGAGGTCAGCATTCTCTGACCATGAAGTTGGTTGACCTCAATGGTCATTGGCAAATCGGATGCTTATCGATATATCTAGCTATCGCTGATCGACTTGGATATCCTAATGATGTCCAGAATAGCAATGAAAACTAGAGAGAGATAAAGAGGTAGATCCTGTCTAAGTTACATTGGCTATCTTTTAAGGAAAATTACCTAGAAATGCTGTATACAAATGATTAGATACCTAATGTAACAAGCAAATACGTATGTACGGCTTATATTATATTACATTTTTCACTATTTTAAGTGTAAGATTGACAGTGGAAAATCAACTTCGTAACACCACAAGAAATAAAATAAACATGAAGAGAATATGTATCAAAACAAACAAATTGTGTGTCGAAAGGGCAAATAAAGTGAGGATTATATTTATTGTATTCAGATAAGGGTAAAAATTAAATACGCACACGACTGACTTTAAGTCATTGCTTCTTCAGGAGCTGTATGAGTGGATTTGCTCTGGGTCGACTCCTACCTAACATTCACATCCTTTAATACTAGGCAAGTCACAAACATCTTAAGTACAGTAGGCTGGCAATCTGAGACAAGCTTTAATCTAGCTTTAGAATGGCTGCTACACCATCGCTAATGAAGTGAAGGAGCTTTGACATAAATATGCTCTGTTCAATAAGATGTGGTTGTGAAGAGATCGAGAGAGAAAGGCAAGTATAATAAATAAAAAAAAGGTGGATTGAAAATTAAGCGAATGAGAGCAGAAAAGATAATGTGTGAAGTAGTTCCGAATGAAAAAGCAACCAGGAAGAATTCTTTCAGTTAGAGAAGTTCTTATCACTTTTATGAAGACAGTAAAGAAAAATACAGTAGGGCCACCATTGTTTTCGTTTCTAAACCATGTCCGAAGACATTTTAAGCAACTGTGTTGAACTATCACTGGGAGTCGTCATACACTGACTATTTCTCCGCTTTTCCCACCCAGGGTCAGCACATAATACACGATTTTGGGATAAAATTTGTAGAACAATCCAATTCATCCATGTGAATGTTTAAAGATGGTGACATCAATCGAGTTATCGTCACTTCCTAGGCACCCTGCCGAACCTCCGCATTACTAATATAGTGTTGTCACCAAATGCCAGCAATCCTTCGAAGACAACGGTGTTCAGACACATGCTGTTGTATAACATCGTCAACTCTAGGAAACCGGGTTACACAATCAAGGAAAAGAACTCGCAGACGCATTGTAAATCCGAAATTTTACTACCGGACTAATATGACCAAGGGCCTAAATGTTGCCCATGTTGACATATACCATTCTGGCTTTCACTGTATGTACATTGGTCGCATGACTTACGCCACCGCCATCATTTAGACAGCTACTACTTTTAACGGCCCACTACCAAGAGTGAGTGTAGGCGCATGCTCTTTCCAGTCTTATAAAGGTACTTAGGGATTAAAAGGTGCGAAGAACACAGCATACCCACAGGCACTCCTAACTAATGAAGCGTGGACTCCATAGCTTCAGTATCATCGCTTTCTCAAGATCGAAAAAGTCTTTCTACAGGTTACATATACAACACCAGTACCTACATTCATCACAGCCGTCCCTAGAATGTTATCGATGGCAAAGTTGAAGGGAGATGCGTAGTTAGGGCAATCTTGCTTAAACTCATTCACTGTTCACTGAAACAGTGGAGAAAGTTGGTAACGCTCTCATTCTTCCTGAATTGTTTGTATATAGTATCAAACAATCTCAGAAAAGTCCTACCCAACAAATCAAAGGTCCGTGAGACGAGAGTAACCGCTGGTTAGGGACCTTGAATGACATGGCTCAAAATCGTTTGCGATGGCGCAGATACACTCTTGGTCCTCCCTCGAATTCTGAATTCCTCAACAACATCTCAAATTTATTTCACTAGATTATGCTCCTTGGACGACATCTTTGAACTCTAAATCTTTCTGATTAATGCTCATTCTTCTACTACCTCTACTACTATGGGATTTAAAGTGACAATTGCATTTGTGCCCATGTGGTATGGCGACTTATGTATGTACATACGAAGTTCTACGTGGTTGCTGACTGAAAGGTGGGTCTCATATGAAGAAACAACAATTGCTAGCTTGTAATCAGTTATATGGTGTGAAGGATTGTTCAACCAGAACGAAAATCAGTCTGCTCCTTGCAAGTCAATCTTTCGCGGGCTTTGAACCGTCACCGAAGTATGACAGTGTATGATTATCGACCCACTTCAGGATTTTAATACATTCTAATTACTGTTGTATTGGGATTTCCGGCCAACACTACAATATCTCCTGCACACTTTCTTAAGACCATTAAAGTGGTACTAGAACTCATCCTTGGTTACATTAGGGTTTTAACGTATTGCAACGAAGGTGGAGATAACGAAAAGTTCTTATACCGGTTTCTCACTTTGATGTAGCTTTTTAATCTAATAGCATAGTCAATCGATCAGTGTTGGCTCTGTTCTAGGATATACAACAACACAAAAACTGTTTATTTTCAATTCTAAACTCTTACTACAAAGAAGCAGATTTTTTAATGCGATGGGAAACAGATATTCGAACTGTCAAATTCTAGATTGTTTATCAATAAAAATATTTTTGTCCTTTTGGTTACTTGGTACATCAAATTGTCGATAGTTTCTAAAGTATATTCCTCTAGAAATGCTTATTTGTTCAATTCACTAAGTATCTACTGATTTTTGAAAACATATGACATTATATATTTCTAATAAATTTATTTACGGGTAACAAAGTTTTCCTGAGTTTTATGATTACTTCAACAGGAATATGAAGTTTTGTTTATCAGAAATGAGGTAGATCTTCTTTTCGTGTGATCATTAAAATTATTGTACAACAGTTCATGGTTTCGTCAACTTTTATCATTCTTTTTATGATATATGTAACATTATTCAACTGATGATACGTTCACATATCATGTCAACCTTCCAAACTTGTACAGTCTTATTTCCTTAAAGTAAGCGTACTTTGTAATGGAGTTATGTATTTGCTCTGTGTGAAGATGAATGCTTCTGCAGGATGTTCCGCCTATTAGAATCATTCAAATATATTCTCCATGTCTGATATAAAGTATATCAGATGAAGAAAATGAACGATTCATACTGTTAGTTTTGTTTTCTCTTGTTAAAAAATTTAAATTCAGTGGATTAGATTCACTATGAGATATATATCCTTCTGCAAAAGATGATAAGGTAGAAATTTCAGCATCAAATGCGTTCTCACAATTTTTGATATGTTTATTACATTCAGTATCGTTGCCAGTTATACTGTGCGAATTCTCATCTACTGGCTGACTTTTGTTATGTAAAAAACTTGTATGTTTTTCCGGTTGATTTTTTAAGTGATATGTCTTATATTTGTGTGAGCGGCTGACTCGTTCGACATATTCTGTACGTATCAAACGTCTGTTAATGCGTTTCCTCGAATGTTTGCTACTATGAGTAATACCTATATCAGTTGTAGCAGGAGAATCGGAAGCAGTAATTTGTGCTTTGCTGTCGCAATGTTTTTTGCTATGGTACCCACACTGTTTGATCATACACATGCCACTTGGTTCTAGCCCACTACCATCAGAATATACACCAAGAATATACTGTCTTTTCCTGTCATTTTTGGTACAGTGATCTTGATTAAGATGGTTGTTGACTAGACCTAAATGTTCCTTATGCTTTTTCCCGCATCGCCTTCGGTTATCAACGCGCTTTGTTCCAGTTTTCTTACTGGAATTAGTGATCATCCTAATATTTCTCTCTCTTCCCAGATTATTCTTCAATGGTAACCTAAAACAAAATAAAATATTTTGACATTATTTTCACTTCTAAAATAATTTGTGATAGCTATACTTAATACGTGTTCGGTTAGTTCTTAGTGGTGAAAATAAGTAAACTTCATATATTTTATGATTAAGTCCATGAGTTAGTTTAATTCAGTAACTGTATGTTTATTCGTGCACTTGCCTTTGAACTATGTTTCCTCGTCTGAGGACTTCTCATGAGACTCTATGGCCTTGACAAAATTATGCGCCATTGGATTAATGATACAATTCAGCAGCCAAAATTCTAGTTATTTAACAAACGACTAAACTCTAGTTTTAAATACTTGGATAAATCTATTTCGGTTATTTCTTTAAAACTGTTTAGATAATAAGAACTCAGGATTTGTAAATATCTTATTTTCAATGAGTTTTTGTACGTTTTGTATTAGAATTGGACCAGATGACAGTGGCAAGCGATAAGAAGAAGAATTTTATAATATTACAATTTTTCATCAAATATTAGGATACCAGAAACCCCACGTTTATTTAATGAATATTAATGTAATGGAACTTATTAGCCTGTCAGTTTACGATGCACCAACCGTGGATGCTAACTTCACGTGGTAGTCGGGCTTGCCTATCGTGATGAGTCAACCGAGCTGTATTGGCTGGCACATATGTTCCTGAAGGTTCTACCATGCCAGGTAGGTCGATGGGAGAACGGTAAGACTAAAAGCAGCTACTCAAGGTCTGAGGGCGAAGTCGTACTGCTGACTGTAGCGAGATGTTTCCCTCGGACAACCATCATCTGCAGCGATTTCCGTCTCCGTCGGTAAGGGCTTCCCAATAAGGACCTTTAAGAGCGGAGTTAATAATCAAAAAGCTTCTCATAAAAAGGCCGTGCGTGACCGGCCTCAAGCAGTTGTCCCTTGGACTCTGAGGTCACGCTCTCAGGTCTCTAAGACCCACATTAATCTGCCTTTCTCTTCAGGTTCTTCAAGAAACACGCTTCCACAGTGTGGGTAGCCCTCATACCCGTAACAGCACAGGAGACCAAATCGGTTACAATCAAATCCTTCCTACACCCCCTAACATCTCCCTTATCTCCACGACTGACTCTTCTCACATTCCTTCATCGACTCGCACTGCTAATGCAAACGATGCAAGTTCCCGAAACGTTCTTCCTGGTCTCCTGAAACCCCTTTCTAAACTCAATGTTGGAGCTCTTAATGTTCGTACCTTGAGTCGAATAGGACAACAGGCTTCCTAAGCTAGGACTCTGGAATCCCCTGCTGTCGATGTGTGTTGCGTCCCTGAAACACGCATACAGGATCCGAGTAGCGTCATTCAGTTGACCTCACCATGTTAGAATAAGGAACCAGCTCGATTTACTCCTAGTATATCTGGAAGCCCTGCTGCTGCCTCCAGGGGTCTCGCTGGTATAGGTATAGCATTGAGTCCTAGGGCAGAACTAGCTCTCCTAGACTGGATCCCAGTAAATAGTCGCTTGTGCACTGTCCGACTAAATGGGACAGTAAGGACTCAGGAAGATAGGGACACTCGTCGTTGCCTCTGCGTTGTGTCTGCCTACGCCTCCACTGACTGCAGTTCAGACGAGGTGAAAGATGAGTTTTACAGAAAGCCTCGGACCTCCTACATAAAGTTAGGCGCTCTGATATAGTAATGATGTCTGGTGACTTCAATGCTCAAGTAGGTAGATTCAGCGACTGACTGGACGTAGGAAAGACACCGCAAGAAAACATCTTAGGGTTCTACTTAATGATAATAAAGCTAAGAATATATTTCAAGAACGACTAGAAAAACAGTTAGGCGACCATGTAGTAAGTGATTCCCATCCGGAGCAGCTTAGAATGATATCCAAAAGGCTGTGGAAACATCAGTGATATCCGCTAGTAAGGTAAACCATCAGGCTAGGAAGAAGCGGTGGATCTCAGTTGCATCCACCGAACTGATACACGCTCAAAAACTCATCTCACCTGACTCTGAACATGATGAAGTGCGAAGTCAGCTTAAGCGCAGGCTGATAAAAAGCCTTCTCAATGATCGCGAACAGTGGCGGTTAGCGAAAGCAAGAGCGATAGAAAAGGCAGTGGTGATAGGTAACAGCGGACCTTTCCGCCTTATAAAGGAAACCGGTATTAGAAATCCATCTGTTAGCGAAAATTTCTCAGAAAAGGATGGCTGTATCATTCATTCTCAATCTAGGAGATCGGGTCAATGGGCAGCACACTCTAGGGACAAATTCAACCGGTCTTCAGCCACACATCGGTTGCCCACGATCCCCAGTTATCCTGAATATTCAATCGATAGAAGTCCTCCAAGTCTTTATGAACTTTAAAAAGCTATAGGAAGTCTAAAGCGAGGTAGAGCAGCAGGGCCTGATAGGCTTACCTCTGAGATCTTAGGTGGAATCTGGGAAATGAGCGTTATCCCATTTGACTGGTCTTAATCGTTGATTGTCCCAATTCATAAGAAAGGACCAGATATTCACATTACGTCAGCTCCTAGAACATAGACGTTCAAACGTTCCACAGTAGTAGTATTTCTCGACCATCAGGCCGCATTTGATTATGTTGATCGTGAGGTTCTGTGTTAGTGTCTGTCATTGAAAGGTGTACCAAAGAAGTACATTAACCTTATACAAGCTACCTTTCCGAACACCATTGGTCGAGTGAGAGCCTATGGCGTACTGACATCAGAATTCTTTACTTCAAGCGGTGTTTGTCAGGAATGCCCACTTTCCCCATTCTTGAATATGCCGATGATATTCCTATTCGGTGAAGACGCTAACAAAATGCCGAGTCTTCCGGCTACCGTGTGCACTAATGTAACCATTTTCTCGCTCGAAATTCAAAATGTCGCTTCAAGATTTGGTTGCATCAGCACCTGAACTAGTACTAGGGATTGAAGTAGTCGAACGTGTCAACCACTTCACTTACTTTGAGAGTCTTATCATCGCTGATGGTCTGGTAAGTGACGAAATTTCAGCATGGATGTGTAAGGTTCCATTGGCTTTCGCCAACTTGCGTCACTTATGGCGTAGGTGAGATATCCGTTTGGTAACCACAGGACGAGTTTACCGCGCAGCAGTTCGTCCCGTCCTTCTTTATGGCTGAGAAACATAGCCAGTCAGAGTTGATAATCGTAGGCTACTGGTTTCGATCAAAGGTGATCCCGAAGCATTTCTCGTGTTTCATGCCATAACTAAATAAGCAGTGCTGTCGTTAGAAAACGAGTACTAGTTACGGGTAGCAAATCAATATATGATGCATTGAAACTTCATTAGTTCATGTGGTTGGGTCATGTGTTATGTATGCCTAAGCATCGACAGCCTCGGCGAGCTATGTTTTGTGATGTAGGTATAAGTTGGAAGAAAGCTAGGAGCGGCCATATCAATACACAGCACAAATCCATCAAGTCACTGAAAGTTGGACTGAGTCATGTTGGTAAATTTTTGCTACACGTTTGGGGTCCGCGAGACGAAAGTCACCAATGGTTAGAAACCTTGAACAACATGGCTCAAAATCGTTTTCAATGGCGTAAGCTGGATTCCTCATCGTCTCTGACATTCTCTTTCTAAAGTTATCTCACTGATTTATACTTCTGGAATCATATCTCCGATACGAAATCTTCATTACTGCTGATACTTTTACTATCACTACCGCTATGAGATTTGAACGTACTGTCACGACTCTTTGCTGATTACGTATGGCGACCTGAACTTATGTACTGATGTATAAAGTTCTGTGTTTTAGTTGACTGATTTTACGATTCAAACGGATACCATTCGAGATAATGAAAGATTTAACCATCGTTGATCCAGTAGAAAACTGAATTCAAAATTATTGTGTGAGACAGGGTCTATTTCTCATCAGTTCTTTTAATGAAACTTGTGCAAGAGGGAACCAACGAAAAGCTAATCATTTCAAAAAATTAGTAATTTACACCATTGAGAGTGCCAAATTGCAACAGAAACCAACTTTTCAGATCTATCTTATTCTCAGTAATTCTTCAGGCATCATAAGTTTGAGGTAAAAACTGTAATTCACTAACAGAAGTTGATATGCATATGATAATACCAACTATTCAAAATCTGTTTTGTTTCTTTTTGTGAAATTACTAATCTCAGAAATAAATTTTACTGTTTCGTCTATAAACTTAATAATTCTAAATTAATAGTTGAGGCAGTCACCAAAACCAACTATTATTCAGTTGGTACTTTGAAGTGGTTTGGATTCTTTGTGAACGGTTATCCAATTTCCTTCAATTTAAAATGCTTAAATAAACAACGCTTATCACCTTTTTGTAGTGAGACTTCGCTTTGTGGTTGTTCGTTGTTTGTCGATGAAAAAGCAATCAGTCTACACATAAACATTTAATCACTACCCTTAGATTACTTGTAATTGCGATCAGTTATTAAGCAGTCATTTCACTGTTTTCAGACTTTTCCAATGTAAATACTATCAATGTCAAATGATGTCAAGATCAAAATCATCCAACTGATTAATTAGAATCTAATTCAATTATGATGAAATAATTACCAAAAAGCTTAAATTTTGGTCAATGTATCTGAACCTAAATAAATCTCTTTAAAATAAAAGTTACTGTTGTGCCGACTTTAATCTTCATTAACTCGATAAACACATTTAAATAGTCTGTTCAAGTTTAATACATATAAGAACATATGACAAACCAATAATAACTGGAACGTACTTTGGTGAAGCTCTTACGAAATATTCATCTGGCTCTACAATTTCTTCTTGATGGCATTTTATTTGTTGTAATACAGTACATGGGTTCATAAATCTATGTTCCTTCGGGTAAGGTGGTGGTGGTGGCGGTGGCAACTGTGCTGGTGTGTTAGAATATTGATTATGTAATGGGTGCTGATGTGATGGTAAGAACGTTGTAGTCATAGAATGTGGCATATTTGCTTGGAATGCATTGCCAGTTGGATGCATTAACTCAGTTTGATCTCCAAACGACGCAGACCTCCATGTATTATTATATGGCGTAATATCAGCATTAAACATTTGTGTTTTGGAATTGTGAATATTGGAGTACAGACTCCTGTGAAATAGTGCTTGCGAACAATCAGTGAACATTTGGCCTGAATTTTAATATAATAAAATAATAAATTTTTCCTGGAGTTATTAAATAAATAAATAATTAAACTGAGTCATTTATGTTCCCGACTTTGTCAATGGGAACTTGACTTCCAATTAACCATCAGTTCTCTTACTCTCTCTTTTAAGATTAAGTCATGGAATCAGCATAGATAGACACGAACAAGGCATCTATTTCCGCCTATATCGACGCTCTGCAGGGCACATACAAGACTCGTAGGCACACTAGTCGGGACTTGAAAGACTCACATCTCAAACTCCAGTCATTTGGGAAATGAACAATTTCGGCAAACCAATCTCAGCATTTACTGTGTTTAGTGGTGACTAGCCTCATAAAGGTTTATTGATAAATCATCACCTATAGAGTCAACTGTATCGAAAATTAGAAATTTTTGACCGATGACGAATATTTGCGCAATAATACGAATTGACTGTTGTTAAAAATGTGGACCATTGTTTCCAGACTGACTGTTCTGAAGTTGATGTGTTCATAAAGAGATCTGGGTGTCCTAGCTCCCATCCAGCAAAATGTCATGTATGTGCATTTCAGATCTTCGAACTAAAATGAGACGATCATGCAGTGCTTTCAGCATGGTCCTGAATTCGTATACTAATGTAGTTGAGGTTTGTACAAATTGAATTACCTTCATGGTGCTCATACATGGGCAATCGATTATTTGATGATAGGATGTAAGTCAGTCAGATGCAACGTAGAACTTTGTACGGAAGTACATCGGTTCATGTTGCCATACCACATCAGCACAGAGATATAATTGTCAATTCAAATCCAATAGTAGAAGATGTAGTAAAGGTATTAGAAGTAATTGGAGAGGTTAGAATTAGAAGATATTATTCACGAAGTATGATTCAATGAGATAAGTTTAGAAAGTAAAAACTAGAGGTGTTGAAGAATCCAGAAGATTAGGATTTGAGAGAACACAAAGAATAAATGCACCGGCGCCATTGCGAACGATTATGAGCCATGTCATTCAAGGTCTCTAACCATCGATTATTATCATCTCGCGGACCCCAACCAGGTAGTCGACAATTACCGACTTGGCTCAGTCCACTTGTCAATGACTTCATGGATTTCTGCCGTGTTTTGGTCTGGCCGCCCCTAACTTTCTTCCAACCTACTCCTACATCGCGAAACAGAGCTCGACGAGGCAGTCGGTGGTTGGGCATCCACAACACATGTCCCAACTACCTCAACTGGTGAAGTGTCACTACTGCGTCTATTGATCTGCCATTCTTACCTAGCACCCGATTCCTAATAACAACGTTGCTCACTCGGGTGTCCCTGGATACACGAGCAATGCTTCGAAGACACCTATGACCGAAAACCAATAACAGACGAATATCCTCTACTATGACTGGCCATGTTTCACAGCCATAAAGTAAGACCGAGAGAACTACTGCACAGTACACTCGTCCTTTTGTCAGCAAACGGATATCTCGCCTACGCCATAAGTGATGCAACTTGGCAAAAGCCAATCGAGCTTTCTGTATCCGAGCTGAGATTTCGTCAGTCACCAGGCCATCGGCACTGATGAGACTCCCAAGATAAGTGAAGCGGTCTACACGCTCGACTACTTCACTCCCTATCACTAGTTCAGGTGCTGATGCAACCCAATCTTGAAGCAACATTTTGCATTTTGGGGGGGAAAACCGCATCCCGAACATGCTTGCATTGTTGCTTAGGGTAGTCAGAAGACTCCGCATTTTGTCAGCATCTTCACCAAGTAGGACAAGGTCATCGGCATATTCTAAGTCAATAAGCGAGCCACCTGGTAAAAGGTCTACTCCTGAGACTTCAGACGAGGATAAGGTAATTTCTAGCAGCATGTCAATGTTAAAATTAAACAAAAATGGAGAAAGTGGACATCCCTGACGGACACCACTTGAAGTGAGGAATTCCGGTGACAGTTCGCCATAAGCTCTCACTCGACCAGTGGTGTTCGAGTAAAGGGCTTGTATGAGGTTAATGTACTTCTTTGGTACACCTTTCAATGACAGACACTGTCACAGAACCTCACGATCCACAGAGTCGAATGTCGCCGTAAGGTCCTATTGTAGGCCTATTGTAGGACGCCTAAATGTGTGTCTATGTTCCAGGACCTGTCGGAGTGTGAAGATGTGGTCTATACAACCACGTCCAGGTCGAAAACCAGCCTGGTTTTCTCTAGTCTGCTCTGCACGAACTTTCGTTAAGCTTCGAAGTATTATTGAGGCCAATATTTTAGATACTATATTAGTTAGACTGATTCCCCTGTGATTGTCACAAGAAGACTTCTGTCCTTTCTTATAGATTGGGACAATCAGTGATTGAGACCAGTCGAATGGGATTGCGTGCAGTTCCCAAATTCTACCTAACATCTCGATTTGCCATTCAGGATGACTGGAGATCGTGGGTAACCGAAGAGTGGCTCGTGGCCAGTTGAACTGATCCCTAAAGTGTTCTGCCCATCGATCCAGTCTCCTCGATTGAGAATGGATAATAATCCCATCCTTTTCCGAGATAGTCTCACTTACATTCGGGTTCCTAATACCAGTTTCTTTAATAAAGCGGAAAAGTTGTCTACTGTTGCCGATCGCCGCTGCCTTTTCCATCGCTTTTGCTTGAGCCACCCACCACTGTTCGCGGTCGTTACGCAGACTTTTTATAAGTCTGCGCCTAAGCTGACTACGCTCTTCATCATGCTCAGAGTCATGTGGGATGCGTTTTCGAGCATCCATCAGTTCGTTGGATGCGACTGATATCCACGGCTTCATCCTAGCCTCATGGTTTACCTTCCTAGCAGATATCACTGCTGTTTCCACAGCCTTCTTGATATCATACCAACCTGCTTCTGGATGGGAATCGCTTGCATGGTTGCTTAACTCTCTTTCTAGTTGCTCCTGAAATATTTTCTGAGTTTGATTATCATTAAGTAAAACCCTAAGAGGCTTCTTTACGGTGTCTTTCCTACGTCCAGTAAGCCTCAAACAGATACGAGCTCGCACTAGAGCATGATCTGAATCCAAACATGTGCCCCAGAACGAGCGACAGTCTTCTATCGAACCCCTCCATCGGTGGTTGATGGCGATGTGATCTAGTTGAGTCCAACGTTGAGACGACTTCGGGGGTCGCCAGGTCAACAGATGCTTTTCCTTATGCCTAAAGTTGGTTTCGCTAAGAATAGGCGGTTATCTGAGCATAGTTGCAACAGACGGTCGCCATTGTCTGTTCTCTCAGTCGCTACACCATAACATCCACCTAGGTGTCTTTTCTTTTCACCTAGTCTACCTACTTGAGCATTGAAGTCACCAGCCATTATTACTATATCAGAGCGCCTAGCTTTTTGGAGGAGGTCCGAAAGCTTTCTGTAAAACTCATCCTTAACCTCGTCTGAACTGCAGTCAGTGGGGGCATAGGCAGATACGACGAAGAGGCAACGGCGAGTGTCCCTATCCTTCCGAGTCCTTACTGTCCCGTTTAGTCGGACAGCGCACAAACAACTATCTACTGGGATCCAGTCTAAGAGAGATAATTCTGCCCTAGGACTCAATGCTATGCCTACGCCAGCAAGACCCCGGGAAGCAGCATCCGGGCTACCGGATACACGAAGAGTGAATCGGGCTGCTTCTTTGTTTTGACAACGTGGAATCAGGTTAATGACTTTACTAGGATCCTGTATGCGCGTTTCCGAGACGCAGCATACATCGATGGCACGAGTTTCTAAAGTCCTAGCTAATGATACCTGTTGCCCTATTTGACACAATGTCCGTACATTAAAAGCTCTAACATGTAGTCTAGAACGGGGTTTCAAGAGACCAAGGATCGACATTTCGTGATCTCGCTTCGTCCGCATTAGCGGTGCAGTGAGAAAAGGAAGTGTGAGTAGAGTTAGTCGTAGAGATAAGAGAGACATTAGGGGGTGTAGGAAGGATTTGATTTTGACCAATTTGGTCTCGCGTGCTGTTACGGGTATAGGATGTAAGTATCACGAATAATATGACGTAACACAGGAAATGAAATGAAAATATTTTAAATAAATGTGCCAGATAACGAAATCGACCTACTTTTATTAAGCATCGGGTAGCAAATAAACTGTTGAGAATCAGTTCGCCAATTTATTTGAATTTGTTGCTGCTGATCGATCACAGGAATCACTTCACAATATGATTCAAAAGGATGTGGATCAACAGAATTTAAATATGTTTTGTAATATTGATTTAAATTTTGAGATATATTATTATTATTGCTATTGATGTCATAATTATTGTTAGGTACATCAAAATGTACACTTTTTGTGTTGTTATTATTCATACCATGGTAATTATATTCATTTGATTGGAATGAGTTTCTGCTAATTGACTGAGAAATCAATGGTCTGTTTTGTGAATAAAGAGAAGATTGATTTATATCTAAATTACTTAAATAAGATTTTTCATTTTTATTCGATCCTAGATATGATTCAGCCAGAGTGCTTAAAGTCCCATCAGTTGCACTACGACCTATCATATATTTTCCTGATCCATTTTGTATGAAACATTCTTTGTTTACTTCTGTGTTTTGTTCCGTGTGTGGTAAATTAGATTTGACATGATCTTGTGAAATACGTTTTAATCCTTTCGCTATTGTTAATGTTGACAAGTAATTGATTGACTTATTTGAAATTTGTATTTTTCGTAACTTCTTACGATAGCAGCATTGATAACATGAACATACAAAGACAATACTAACGAAGGAAACTAATATGACACATCCAATAATGAGTGTGTTGGAGGCTGTTGAACTGATTGGGAGAAAACGTGATAAATTTGTTCTGTTTCCTAAAACAGTTTAACAAAACAAAAGTGACAAAAATAATCTATCCTATGGCTTGCTCATCAACTACTGCAAAAATAAAACCGAGAATTAGATTAAATAAAAAAATTTGAGAGGGAAGTACATTCATTTGTAACCAGCTGTCATTGAAAGTATGGCACACAAACAATAGTTCCCTCTCAAAAGTTTACAATTTGTTCAATTTAAAAAAAAGTTCCGAAAATAAAGTCGAAACTGCATGCAGACATTGTAAACTTTCCTATTGACTGCTTATTTTGAATCAGCTACTATAGAAACTGATCAGAGTACAAAGGGTCAAAACTGGACCACAACCGTATCTCAAATACATTTGTTATCCCCAGAAAATCTCACTGAATAGACATTGTTCATATTCATGCAGGTGAAGTTAAAGAACATTGGCTTATTAGATCCAGTACTCCAATTTCTGTCAATAGGTAGTATATTATCGGAACACTATTTCACGTACCTCTACTCAAACAGTCGAGTATTATCATCAGTCTACACATTACCACAATTACAGTTCATGATTAAGAACACGAAAATGAATTTGGTGAGTTAGAGGGTAAAGACGCAAACAATACGTGAATATCTACGCTTATTTAAAAGTTATTATTTAAAAAATGAACACGTCGCGAAAATGGACGGAGATACTACATATAGAAGAATACCAAAACTTCCAGATCAAAATTATATCAAACTATTAGTTGCTAATTTACAATCGTTTAACAAGACACAAACATAAACAATACGAATCATACTACTAATGAGTAATATGGTAAGAACACTAAAATTTGACGTTTTTGCTGACTGAAACCAAGTAATCTCTGTCAGTATTTTTTTTCATTTCTACATAAGTTTTCCGGAAGTTGTCTGTTTTTAATTTTAATTGCATAGTTTTTAACTACTGATTCGAATAAGTAAATTCTATGCAGAGCGCACTACGTATACATAAAAATAAGTTTATTTGTGAGTTTCACTAACAACTCTTAATTGTTTACGTGTATAATAACTTTTGTACATGTATGTTTCGTTATTTAATTTTATAAAAATGAGAGTCGTCCATTAATCTTGCTTTTATTCTGTCATCCTCATTAACTGGCGATATTAAACGTTGGCTTGCAACAAACGGTTAATGTTGTACTGCGATAAACAAATCTTCTCAATAAAAACTAGTTAAATACTAAAAATATAATACTGGATTAATGCGTAATAAACAATGTAAAAATTCGAGACAGTTAATGAATTTCATTTTAAAGTACGAAACTACTTTATTACGAGTTATCCATAACTTTCGTTCTGTGTTCGAGAGTTCACACGTATAATTTGAATGGATAAATGTTTAATAATAGATAATATAATTTAAAACAGTCTAACTCAAACAACTGAAGTAGTCATGAAAATGAAGACTAGCGGTTATTTGAATAATATGTGATGAAGATGCCAACTAATTCAAAATTACTTATCGCCCCGAAATTAACAATTTTAATATCATCTTCATCTATACAGTAAAACACTTGTATTCACTGACAGCACTTACTTAACTTCATTCTTCATAATCATAAAAAATGTCGAACTGACCTTTAGCTACAGTCAAATCACTTTAGGAAACATGAAGGGAGCATTCATTTATATAAGATCTATTTCTTGTGGACAAACAAACTGACCAACTATACATTGATTGTGTTGTCTTGTGACTGTACAAAGTTCTCTTCTAAGTTAAAGAAATATAGAGTTTATTTGTAGATATTAGAAGTTTTATCAGCAACCAGTAAACGAATGTCAAAATGCCTAATGTAATAAATGACAATTCATTAACTTTAGTTTTTTTTTTCTGGATTTACAGAAAATAAATTAAACAATTGTGGTGAGAATGGTATATATACACTATGTAAGTGTGTGTATATCGTGAGTACAGAATAAATTGACAAGGAATTGGAAAAACGAAAATTTACAATAAATTAGATCACTTTAACTACTGTTCTAACGATGAGATGTAAATATGTGTGAAGAGGAGTAAGAGGGGAATTTTCATTTTCTACTTACCTAATTTTTATACCCACTGTTTTGGGTGCTTATAAGAAGAAAATCTCCCTAAAACTATTACGCGAAAAAAAATAGACCAATCAGGATAACGTTGATGAATTGATAAAACTGATAATCGTGAATAGTATAGTGTGATCCAAATGCATCATCAAAAAAACTAGTTCAAATGACACACATTTATCTTATATTCAGTCAATTTTTCATATTGTGATTTTACACACCAGATAATTAAGGACAATTTCAAGTATTCAAGTTTAACAATAGTAATTTAAGTAAAAAAACAATTAATTATGTGTCGTGTGGTTAGGGTTGTGTAAAAAACAAAAACAAATGATTGATGGAAAAGACAAAATGGATAGGCGAAAACATCGATGAGTAATAAATACACAAATAATAATTTCTAGCCCTAAAGAACAGAATATTGGTGACTTTCTGATAATGTGATATTCGCGATGGCATTAATTTTGACAATTCTCTATCAATTTAAGGTATATCGTTCTATGTCAGTTGTTTTAATGTTGAACTACTGGTTCGATGAAAATAAAATTCCCACAGTAAATTTACAATCGCTTTCTTTCTACGATTTCTAGTAAATAACTCACTTTGTAGTTGAAAGTCACTGATTGTTTGCTTAGTTATGGTCTATTAAACTGTTCTTTGAAAAATCTAATTTAGTTAAATTGTAGGGATTTAGTAAAATTTAAAACTTTTAGTTTCGACTTAATTTTCAGATGAGGACAGAACTTTTGCGGTAAACTTTAATTTTCTGTCTCGGATGTCACAACAAGCTAATAACAAAACAATTAATTTATTCAGTATACAGAATTTTAAGACTTCCTTCACTTTAACAGTTTAAGTTCAACATGAAACGATATTAGCTGAGCATCTATTGTGAACCAAGATGGAGGGTCGATGGAGTAACTGTTGGTTTTAGTTCGAACCTTCCCAGTAAAGCACCTCTCTAACTTTATATAAGCTCAAAATCAGAACACCTAAGTCTTTCAACAAGCATGATACCAATTGGTTACTTCGCAGAAATAGAATGGTCCTGATTTTAAACTCGGTAATTAGTCACTTATTACCTTACACAGAAATCTGTAGAATACACACGTCATTACTTCTAATCAATATGTCGCAAAGTTCATTTCACGTTTATTCACCAACTGAGTATGTGTGTTATCACAAATAATCTGAAAATCTAGCTCAATAGTTCTATGTTCGGCACCAGACAAATTTTTTGATTGTGATGCGGATAATATTCGAGAGATTTTCATTAAATATCGATAGTAAGGTTTTGATCATCTCTTCAACTAGCACCAGTTGGCTTGATTAATCACTTTCAAATTATCTAAAATTTCCGCAAGACCGAAAGTAATTAATTTTAGAAGTACGTTTGAAACAGCTTCCTGAACTAAATGTAGTGCATTTGTTAGGAACGGGTTGGTAAACGACCCTTAGGTTACACAGTTTATGTGTTACTGTATACTCACAGACACTTAACAAAAACTTTCAAGTAAACAAATTGAAATGAATTATGTTGAATTCCAGGTTTAAATATACTATCTCTTTTGTTTAACAGCACCACTTAATTATATATGCCTGTTACCCCCAACAGAGCACAGGCTGCCGACCAGTACTCTAAAAACTAGTTCCAGATATTTTTCAACTGTAGAAATGCAGCCCTTGCTTTGCCGATCCGTGCCTGTACATTTGCATCGGATCCACCTTGATTGTGGATGATGCTACTCAGATATGTAATGCTTTTAACGTCCTGCAAGGCATCTCTATCAAGAATGATTTGGTTGGTGCATGTTGTGTTGTATCGTAGTATCTTACTTTTCCCTTTATGTATGTTGTGACCTGCTGTTGCTGAGACAGCTGCTACACTGGTCGTCTTCTCTTGCATTTGTTGATGCATGAGCGAAAGAAGAACCAGATAACCAGTGAGTTCCAGATCGTCCAGCTTCATCCTGTCTGTTCAGCGTATACCATGCTTCCCTCTAGATGTCGACATCTTCATAATCCAGTCGAAGTCCAGGAGAAAGGGAAAGTGTAAGAGTAAGCAACCTTCCCTGACACCAGTCTTCATCTCAAACGAGTCTATCAGCTGTCCTCCATGCACGATTTTGCAGTTGAATACATCATAAGAATTCCGTATGATGTTGAATATAATCTCAGGCACGCCATAGTCTCGAAGAAGCCTTCATAGTGTTGTCCTGTCCACACTATCGAATGCCTTCTCGTAGTCGATGAAGTTGATGTATAGTGGTGAATTTCATTCATTTGATTGCTCCACAATGATCCGCAGTGTTGAAATTTGGTGGATACACGATCGATCCTTACGAAATCCAGCCCGTTGATCTCGAAGTTGGGCGTCTACAAAGTCCTTCATTCTGTTTAACAATACCCTGTTGAAGACTTTGCCTGGTATTGACAGAAGAGTGATGCCTTTGTAGTTCGCACACTTGCTAAGATCGCCTTTCTTTGGTATTTCGATCAGTTGTCCTTTTTTCCAGTCTGTTGGTTTTTTTATTCCTCCCACATCTTGTTGAGAAGAATGTGGAAAGTATTTGCAGTTACTGCCACGTTTGCTTCCATTGCCTCTGGTCCTGCTGCTTTGACGCTCTTGATTTGTCTGATGGCCATACTGATCTGTCCAATAGTTGGTACACCGACGTCAGTCAAGATGTCCGCGGATGCTGCTTCGATGTTGATTAGGTTAAGTGGGGCTGGTCGATTCAAGAGTTCCTTAAAGTGCTCGACCCACCTGTTTCACTGATCGTCAATGTTGATGATTACATTGACTTCCTTACTATTCACTGGTCGTTCTTGTTTACGATAGTTTCCAGAGAGCTTCTTTGTTGTATCATACAAAGCTTGTATCATACTCAAGTTTCCTTCTCTTGCAGCCTTCTCCGCCGTCGTTGATAGATCATCCGTATATTGACGTTTGTCGGTTCTGATGCTCCTCTTTAGTTGCTTGTTTGCTTCCATGTATTTAGCTTGTGCCACGAATTCCTCTGTTCTTGTTCAGCTGATGTCGATAGCTGCCTTTTTGTTCCTCCTTTTCCAGAGTACCAACAGAGATCTATTCCTTGTGATGGTTCTTCTTGTGGCTCAGAACCTCCTCCAAGGTAATTTCCTTTCCACCGAGTAGATCGTGTAAGGCCTGGAACCTATTGCCGAGGGTCATCCTGAATTCACTGAGCTTTCCAGTATCCCAAAGAAATGCAGTATTAAGCTTTCGTGGTGTTGCCCGCCCCGTCGTCCAGTACTTCTTTAGCTTCAGTTTCATTTTGGCGACCATAAAGTGGTAATCTGAGGCTGTATCAGCTCCTCTCTTGGTTCTCACGTCTTCTACGGTGCTTCTGAACTTTTTATTGATACAGATATGGTCAGTTTGGTTCCGAGTAGTGTGATCCGGTGAAATCAATGTAGCTTTGTGTATGCGTTTGTGTGGGAATATTGTTCCGCCGACGACCAGTCTGTTGAAGGGACATAGTTATGCAAATCTCTTACCGTTTTCATTCCTTTCTCCTGATCCATGTCGTCCCATGATGCCTTCATCTCCAGTGTTGTTCATGCTAACCTTGGCATATAGGTCTCCCACCAGAATAGTCAAATCGTTTGATGAGCATGTGTCGACGATGGACTGCAGCCACTAGTAAAATTGGTCTTTAACGTCTTCATTGTAGTCGTTAGTAGGTGCATCGTCTAGGATAACGTTCCTTGTAATGTACTATTTCTTGGTTTTCAAGGATGACTTGATGTTTCCGGATCCATGAGATTCACATTCTATCAGTGCAGTTTGTACTTGTCTAGATAGCACCAGTGAAACTCCTTGTGTGAACAGAGTATAACAATAGTTCCCCTGAATCTAATCTTAGTAGTCCTAGCTGCGTCCAATGCGTTTCACAGATTCCAAACACCTCCATGTTATATCTTTTCATTTATGCAGCAACTTCGAGGAGTCTTCCGGTCTCCCACAATGTTCGAACGTTCCATGTACCTAAAAGAATAGTTGCTGTGGTTGTCAGTAATTGGAATCGGTCTCGTGACTTTTGAAGGAACTCAGTTTTCATCATGAAACGTCATAAGTCTTCTGAGAGAAGACCATTCCACTTCCAGGGAAGAGTGAAAATGGTTTGAATTATGTTTTCTGGTTAGCGTTTTTTGTTGAGTTAATTTTTTTATGGGATATGGTTGTCAACCCGAACTCAACCCTGCTCCTTTACTCGGGCTTGGGACCTGTAGCAGCCGGAGAGGGTCTCCAGGCAGGGTTTTTTAACGATATTATCTATCTGTAATCCCCAACACGAATTAGGTGAATATGACTGGGTAATCGAGTCTGCATTGAATAATATGTAGGGAATGTATGTTGGTACATACATTGATTTCGGACATACTTGGACTTTTTTACAATTTCCTAGCATTCTAAGAGTTTTCACTATTTAAATTTTTTGAAATTTGAAACATACTCATCTTTTATTTAGATAAAAGAAGTTCCTATTAAGTCACCTAGCTAAGCTAATGTAACATGATTAAAAGTTTATATTTCATTAAATGACTAAATTTACTCAATGAATCCAGAGAATGACTTAAAAAGACTTAATTATATATGTGTAAAATCGCTCGAACATAGCTCAATGATCAAAACAATTTTTAAAACTTACTTTCCACTTCTGAACTTGGTAATACCAAACTTTTGACTGATGTGTACTTTTCGTTATTGTTTTTATTGTTATTTTGTTTAACTGCATCATTGATTGATTTATAAACTGTACAACCAACATTGTTTAAATCACCTGGAGTAAGATATGCACCAACTAGTGCATGTAATAAATGATGAGGTAAATCTGATGGATTCATTCGTAAACTAGGCAATTCATCTCTTGCATTATGACAGTGTACAATACTGTCACACTGAAGTAATTTTGAAATACAATAACCATAATCTTTGTGTTTAAATGATCGACGTCGTCTTTGTTTGACTAATTTAACGTTTGATACGTTGTATTGAGCAGTATATCTTAAGACTTGTCTAGTGGTTATAGGTTGAATATCAGTGGAATAGGTGATTTTATCATTTAATTTTAAAATTTTGGCTATTGAACGTTTGTTTCTACGCATATATGATAATTGATATGGTTCCATTGATATATGTCCACAGAAGAATTCATTATTTTCACAAGCGCCTGTAGATTTCGCTTGAAGGAAAGGTAATTGAAGCAAAGACTATTTATTGATATAAATATTTATATGAAATAAAATCATATGACTAAGCTAACTATAAATTATTGTAAAACTTATATTCTCATTAGTAGTAATAAAATTAAAATCACAAGTTGGAAATGAGTGACTTTTTAATAAGGCGTATATTGTTTACCTTACTTATCTAACTTTACAACCTAACTCTTGACATATTCATCGAGAAAATTTGAGGCCACGAAAATATGAAACTCAGGAAACTATCCTCGAAGAAATCATTGTGTACATTGTTTTTATAAGCATTCAACAGACGGTTCATTTTCGAATACTTGCTGATCCATTATACGTTGCCTTATCTTTTACCACAACAAATTCACCGTAATCGAGTTTAAAAGTTTCAGTAAATTAGCTTCGAATAAAGTTTGATCGACTCGATTTGCATAGTATTCGTAAAGCGTTATCTAATTCATTATTGTTTAGGAAAGATAGAATAATTGTGTTATTTTTTTTTAACTTATTCTTCATTCAATGATTATATTTTTATTTTGAAAGCCAGTCAATCGCCCTAATCGAATAATCTCAATTTTAGGAACTGTAGGTCATCAAGTTGTTGTTTTTCTAGAAAGTGTTTCATGTAATGTAGGCTTGTATTCTGAGTCCAGACTAATATTTAATTTTATATTCTACATATATATATATATATATATATATATATATATATATATATATATATATATATATATATATCACAATTTCGAGTATCAATGTTTTCAAACATTTTTGCAAAGAACTACAACTTCCAAATAAAAATATAGAGGAAATCACATTTTATGAAAAATTTCACATATCACTATTTTTCATTTCCATGTCAATGAAACTAGTTAATCTATTTTTTTGAAAGGAAGTTCTATATAACGGAAATAAAATGTGTTCAAACATGATGAAATTGCGAAAATAATGTATGAGGAAATAATTTTTCATCAGAATATAGAAAAACAGAAGTCATACGATCACTACTGATTCCTGTGTTAGAGTGAAAACATTTATCGGAGAAAGAGAATTTTTGTAATATACAATAATGATCAGTTTCTTTTGCTGGTGTTCCTGATCTGTAGACTAGTTTTTTTCAACATCATTTGACGTTTGTTATATATTAGAAAACTCATGGAATTCGAAGATAAATTTCGCATTGAGAAAGAACATTAATGCTAGTGGATTAAATTATTTGTACACTGATGTCAGTGTACTGAAACATAGTTAAAATAAATACCTAAATTAAAAGTCACTCAACTAAGATACTACTAAGTTTTATTTCTCACTAGTCATAAAATTGTTTTCTTTAATGGAAATGAAAATATTTTTATTAAGTAGCCAAAAGTTTAATGGTCTGTTCGCTAAGAAACTTGGTAATAAATTGTCCACTAATTTTTGAGTTGAGATAGTTCAATAAGTTTTTGATATTTGTGTCTACGGAGTCGCAGCATAAGACATGGGAGTAGTTGTGTCGATCTAGTTCGAATGTTAATCATTTCACCTGGACTATCTGTCGAGTACCAATGACTTTTGGTTAACCAATAGCATAGTAAACATGAGATAAAAGTTGACTGTACCACCGAATGACTTTTAGTCCAGAATTCAGTTTTCGATGATCGCTTAACTGATAGTCGGAATAGAGAATAACTTAGTCATCAGACAGCTTCCATATATACATTCCAAATTTATGAATCGTTAATACAATCGTATAAAGTGAAAGTCTGACCACATACCAACAGAACGCAGAAGTTACAATATGAGCATAAGTGTACCATAAGTGAAAGAGGGTTGACTGATAAGTTTACATTAAATTAATAATAACTTGAGAAAGGTGAGACACAACAATAGTTAATGCATCAAAAAAATAATTACAAACAAAGAGATACAAAAATATAATAGTTTAAGTATTTGATAATTGTACAAAAAAATTACAAACAGTGACCTCACAAAGGAGCGTCTTGAAAGCTCACGTTTGCTTAATATTTGTCTCAAATAAGTAGTATGGTTCGAAGAATATAATCGATTATTTGATCTCAGACTATATATGCGTATTTATCATTAAGAGTTTGGTTTGATGACTTTATGGGTGATTTGTAAGATGAGAATAAAAATCACATTAACCTCGCGGTATTTATTAAGTCTGACAATCTGAACTGTTTTCTATCATTCACTTGTAGTGGGACGCTTCTACGAAGAAAATACGAGTTGTGAAAAATAAACATTATTGTACATCTTTTGTTTAACTGTACCAAAAACACTGCTACGACTTCTTGCGCGCAACGTTCTCTTCGCGTTGCTGCCATCTTTATCTATTTGCTGCTCCCCATGTGTTGCCAACGTTCTCCTTCAATAAAATCATGGAATATGGATTTATGTTGTTTTGCTTTTCGTTACGCGACCGTATGGAACATTTAGTGGTGAGCATAGTCAATCAGGTATCGGACTCGCTCACAACACACTAATCAGTCAGCCGAAAACCATTAATAGTTTTAACTCCATAAAAAATTTGAACAAGATGACATGAATAAGTGATGAACATATAAAATGCAACTTCTCCGGGAGCCGCTCTAAGGATAGTGACGATCCCAAGCCCGAGTAAAGGAGGAGGGTTGAGTTCGGGTTGACAACACTATCCCATAAAAAACTAACTCAATAAAAAACGCTAACCAGAAAACATAATTCAAACCATTTTCACTCTTCCCTGGAAGTGGAATGGTCTTCTCTCAGAAGACTTATGACGTTTCATGATGAAAACTGAGTTCCTTCAAAAGTCACGAGACCGATTCCAATTACTGACAACCACAGAAACTATTCTTTAAGGTACATGGAACGTTCGAACATTGTGGGAGACCGGACGACTCCTCGAAGTTGCTGCAGAAATGAAAAGATATAACATGGAGGTGTTTGGAATCTGTGAAACGCATTGGAAGCAGCTAGGACTACTAAGATTAGATTCAGGGGAACTATTGTTATACTCTGTTCACACAAAGAGTTCCACCGATGCTGTCCAAACAAGTACAAACTGCACTGACAGGATGTGAATCTCATGTATCCAGGACCATCAAGTCATCCTTGAAATACAAGAAATAGTGCATTACAATGAACGTCTTTCTAGGTGATGCACCTATTAACGACTACAATGACGACGTTAAAGACCAATTTTACTAGTGGCTGCAGTCCATCGTGGACACATGCTCATCAAACGATTTGATGATTCTGATGGACAACACTGGGTGTAGAATACAGATTTTTTTTGACTGATAATTAAATTAAAAAATAATTATTTAAGTACAATTCAGTTGTATGGTGGAAACAATAAGAACAGCAGCCACTGTCATGTTGAAATGAACGTTTCAGTTTCATGCTACTACCTTTCTTTTCATCACGTTTAAATAAATAAAAACAACAGTTAGAATGCATAAGGTTGATAGACAGAATAATTTAGAAAATACCGAAGAACAAATTTTTCTAATTATTAATTTATATGAAAAAAGTATCTAATAAAAATAAATCGAGGAAAATAATTTTCAATGTACGCAAAATAGTATGGTGTATTTTTTTTCCCAGGAAAAAAACAAAACAAATAAGCTTTAAAATCAAAGAAAACTAAAATGACCTATTGTAATTTTTCAAGAAGACAATCCAACTACCACCCGTAGGGTATATTTTAAAACAAACATCTACTTTGTTAAATCAGAAGGTTTTCGATGTATTCGTTTAATGACTGTGATTGTTTAGCTATTAAATTAAAAAACTAATTGCAATGAATTATTATTATTATTATTTCGGATTATTAAACGAAATTCGTAAACCGTGTATTTAGTAGCATTGTATAATTCTGTTTTTTCGGGGAAAAACTATTTAAATTTTAAAATTAACAACGTGTAATACTTGTCCGTGTTGTTTAGCCAAAACTAGGAGAGCATCAACTTTCTTACAATGAAATAAGGTTGTCAGAGTTTGAGTTAACCAGAATACAAAACGCTGTTTTCTATCTGTATCCCTACAGATTTTATTTGAAGGGATGTTTTATTTTATTTATAGTGGGAGAAAAATCAAAGAATTAACTAAATTAACAAAGATAACGGAAGTGAATATTTCTAAAACGTAAAATTATTTAAAAACCAAACCCTATATATACATATACATATAGTTGTATTACAACAAGTTAAAGTACCGCTTAGCGAGAAATAGAGTGATAACTAGTCACGCGTTACAATGATGTAGAAAATTTATTGGTTCATTGAAAAGAATTTGCTGATAATTCTTTATCTGTTTGAGCTGAAGAGTTAGCTTGTGAAACAGTCACTACTACTAGTTACAATCACAAATATTCCACATTTTGACAGGAAAAGCTGTTAACCAATTATTCAAAAAAAAAAACTATCATCTCACTGTTGTTTGAAATTTGTACTCACAATATTGTGTTACCTGACAGATTCATGAATAAAATCTTTAGTTCATAAAATGCACTACTACCGAACAAGTGTTCATTCAATCAAAGTTCTATCGATATTTACACAGTAGAATACCCTGCTAACTTTTATTTAGTCGTGATAAAAGTATTATCTTAATAAAGAATGTAAAGTATTGAATGTTATAGCAATTATAATTTATAAATGGATATTATTTAAATGTATTTGGTTTCTTCAAAAGTGGTTATGTCACATAGTTGAGTAATCAAAAATCACCACTTGCTTACGTTGTGTAATCGTTTTACAAATAATAAGCCGTAAAATCTTTACAATAAAAATTTGAACATAATTGTCTACTTTTTAAAGGAAGAGAAGACAAAGGTAATAATTAGCACCCATAATTTGAAGAAATCTAAAGGGGTGTTAAGACCATAAGAGAGTAAGGAACTAAGCATGACTGCTCTGTAGAAAAAAGTTGGTTTAAAAATTATAAGCTGCTGCAACCTCAGCTAAACACAGATTCCTTATCCAAACGGTTTTTGAACTGGTTTCTTCTACATTATAAAACTTATTGAGAGAAAATTCATCTGGTGAGTTTCGACACGAGTTGACCAGGTGTTCATGAAATAAAATACTGGTTTACTTACATTCTCCTTCTCTTCAGGATAATCTTGCTTAAAACAGCAATCTATCCTTGACACTCCCTTGAATGAGTTTCTTGTTGGGCAAAACAGTTCACAGGTCTATTTAACAAAATGCCTTTCTCATGAATCTGTTGTTGAATATCTTGGCTACCTAAACTCCTCTGAATTCAACGTTCAAGAACAAAAAATTCCTTCGGAACAGTGGGAATACTTTCAACCGAGCACTTGGGTTTTAGATTGCTGTCAATAAACATATATAGGAAACCATTCCACAGAACAGTTGGTTGTATTTTATCTATTTCACCATTTAAAGTGTCTTCAGTTCGTGTTAGCCTAGCTCTTGAAAACAAAGAATGAATTAAATTTCACTGCAACCAACTTTGGAAGTTTGTTTACTGGCCGATCCACGTTGGATTTCAATCCGTGAAGAGATTCATCTGGCCATCGTTTTTTACTTACCTCCTTATTTACTTACACCTGTTACCCCAAATGTAGCTCCCGGGCAGCATTCACCAACATACTCTATCCTGGCTCTTCTATCTCAGTTCTATCCAGCTTCTCCTTATCTTTATCATGTCTGTCTCCGATACTCGACATAATGCGTTCATCGATTTGACATTAAACTCTGCTTCTAATGGGAACATGATTCAGTAGTGAAATTTGTTTATCTCTTTCACTATTTTATGAAGGTCATTAGCTTCATCGCAGATAATGAAGGTATCACCTCTTGTAAAAAATAAAATTTGTCTAGTGATACTCAAATGGCAGTATTCCCCATGTTAGCCTTAAGAAAGTCTGCCAAAAGAGAAGCTAAAGAGGATCATATAGAAACACTACTGATTTGTCTGTAGAAATCATCATTAAATTTAAATTGCTTGTTAAAAGTGCAACGTAGGAGAAGCTCTTTTAAGTAATGTTTCGGTAAGCCAGTAGTTCCTGTGAGTGGCATATTTGTAACTAGAAAGGTGCAAATAGAGAGAGGTAACGATATTATTTTCTTTGCTGATACATTGGCGTCGTTAATGATTTAACAAAATTGAAACAGTCTGCAATGCTATGTTTGCAGGTACTATTTCTGACCGGTTGCAGACGTTCCACTAACCATTTGGTGATTAAGTGGTATGGGGAATCATTCATACTTAATTTCTTTTAATGAGAACAGTACTATCACCTTTATCTGAGCAAACCGATAGTAAATCTTTATCTTTTTAAAGTCAATTTAGTAGAGGTTTATTATCCTTTGAGAGGAGCCGCTGCAGTAAGGTTTTTGAGTTGCCGAATTTCGGACCGAACGACAATGCTTGCCTTTGTAACGCCGATAAATGTGCACTAGACTAACTGGAGGCCTTTTTCTCAGGAGAATCTGGAAAAGAGGTTTTCAGGTCCGTTTCTTTTGCACTTTTTATGAGTCACGTTCTGAGAGCGTTTCTTTGCAACCGTATCATCATTTCGATTGTAAATTATCACTTAAAATTAAGGTAGACTTTTTACTTCATTGAAATCCAAAATTATAGTTAATTTTGTTTTAAAAACTATCACAGTATTATTTTAAACTAGGATTTCCACAGTTGATAAGTATAATTATTTTCTATGCTAGATTTTCACATCATATCTTTGATATTATCAAAGCTTACTGTAAGCATAGAGTTTCTGGTAAAGAAAAGTTGCGATGCGATTTTCAGTACTATAGATAATATTAACGAATTCCCAACTGACCTTGTCAGTCAAGATTTAATAGAATTATTCCCTAGGCATTTATTTAGGTTAGGATGTAAAAATTTATTTCTAAAAAAAATTGTCATACGATTGAAATAGTGATATGATTATCATCGTGAAATATTTCTATTAACTGCAATTTACTATTTTAATAAATAGTTTTCTCTCTTGAGATATGCTAGTTAGAATCTGATAAGGTTGACTGTTGAATAAACACAAGTAAATTTATTTAAAATCTTAAGTGAGTCTGCTGTCAAAAGTGTACCATCAGTTGTTCTATCAATTATCAGTAGTGAATTAAACCACAGTGGATTTCGTAGTTATGGTCTTTCTCTTTTAAACATCAAAAACTCGTCAATAATTCTAGAATAAACACATCTGTATTCTACGAGCTAGAGATACTACAATGTTGGTTTATTGGCGTGTCTACTGTTTTTCATTCCTATGCTTTATGACTGGTTGATAAGATTTAATTCAATTTAGTTTCTGTGATGCAGGTTCGAGCGTACACAATCCTTGTTACGTGATTCGAATCATGTTTTATGATTCTTATTTTAAGTCTATTTGACCTACTACTCCCGTTGTTGAACTACTGACTAGAACTTTTATTATTCATTTCACTGCTACTAGTACACTTATTTTCCTACTATCAACTTGTACTTTGTACCTATTATGTGTAGTTGCGTAGTTGATTTCATTGCAATCACTGCCTCATAAATTGTTCTCATTTGTAGTAGTAGACATGTGAAACAATGAATTATCCCGGTTTGGTAAATCATTATAAAGTTCTGTCATTCTCTGTTCAACCAGAAGATTTGTTCACTGTCTCCCTGGTTATGTTTGCCTAATTTGATGAAAAGTACATCAATTTTTAATTACGCCTTTTTAAGGCCTACAACAAATGAAGATACACTTGAAAATTATAAAACTACAAACTGTTGTAAAGTTAAACCTAATTACGTTAATTTTACACGTATTCAATGATAGACATATATAACCGATATTCATTTTATACAATCAACAATTTACCATCAGTTATTGCTGTCAATATCAATTTGAAGCCTGGTTCCATATCCATTGATGAAGACGATGAGTAGGTTGTTGACCTGCAAAATAAGTAGAAAAGTAAGATCTGAAGAAAAAAATGGTATTATTTGTACGAAAACGAAGAACCCAACAGTTCGTTAAAATAACTTTATGAAATTCTACACCTATTTGCAGAACCATTGTAAAAATGACAAATAATAAGAGAATTATATTCCTATCACAACTATATGTCTTCCTGGCAATTTTCAATTGAGACTTGATTTGCAGGTCGATGGTTTTGCGTTAATTGATGTTCATGCTCCTCAATGCTTTAATGTCAAGCAATTTTAGACTGAACCAAATTTGTGCAAATTCAATCGGAATAATACAAACGTTTAGCAATCACCGAATCAAATATTTAACCACTGAAATACTAATCATAAATCAATTTTCGGCATTTGAACCGTAACTAGTCATGAAGAAATCAAACACTAGGTGTTATTTTTGGATATAAAATACTTTCTAACATCGTCTATTCTTAGCATTAATCTAATGTTGAAGATGTTTATTGAAGTTCTAACTGTTAGCTGATTATTCTGTTTCTTCAAAATTTCAATTAGTTTCTCACTCTTTTTGGTGATATGCTAAGCATAACTATTATTAAATAAGTGCAATTATTTATCTGTACTTCTAATTTTGACTGCTATCTGGATAAGATTTATCATTTATGAACTCGTTATTTGTTCCAGCTTGTTTTAGTTCACAAATTATTTTTGTTGGTAATTTTCTTCGTTTTTGAAGTACTTTAGTTTTGCAAACGACTGTGCTAAAAGCTTGATATGTATTAAAAATCGATTATTTTTAGGTGTACAATGAAATAATTAATTAGTCGATTAATGAATCTAATGACTTTGTTCATTAATTTTTTGTTAGTCAATTCACTGTGTTGTGTAAAACTTATTGCTGGTTGCTGACGAAGACGATAACAGCAAGGACAAAATAAACGAAAGAGAACTGAATGAACAATGCAAACAGATTTTAATGAATCGACACTGAATGAAAAGCAAAATATAAATTCATTTTACAGAAAGTCGAAAACTGCCATTGCCAAAACCAAGTAAATGGAAATTTTTTTTAAGAAAAAGTGCTGAAATTCATCCATATTCTGTTTGTGGATAAGTTTATATCGACAACATGTGAGCATAGTTGAGCAATAATGAAACAAGCATTTCAATTCAGAAACTGTCAAGTATAAATAATTAGTTGTTTTTATGATTTACATAAAAAAGAGTGGTGTAGATTGTTGAGTGTCATTGAAATCATGAATGGATCATGGCTAGATTTCTTCATTATTCAATCTATAAATTTGTCCGTTGAACTGAGTGACAAACATACGGACAAAATATCTGTCTGGCAAACTGACTGTGAATTCCTGAGAAAATGTTCATACATATTTTACAGCAAAATATACACTTCAATCAGCATTTCTGAATTAAAAGGTAATTAGCTATTAAAAGCTTCAAATCAGGAGATTATAGAAAAGACTGATCAATAAACTGAGGGCAGTTGACCGCTGTGCACCAACTTGTGAGATTCTTATCCTGCATCACCTGGTTTCAAAGTTTAAGACATGATCATTAAACTACTCAAGACTTGAAGGCTACCTATATAACCGAGATATTGGGGATTGTTCGGTCACTTGAATGGTAGCTAATATCATGGTTTGTCTAACACCTAGTACTGGATGAATTCCATTGATCCAGTCTAAATGTGGGAAACTCATCACACAGTGGTAAGTTATAATCAATATAACCAAATACAAATAATGTTATGTTGGGTCACTTATGAGACAGTAAAGAAATTACGTAACGTAATATGGATAGATGAATTACAGATGATTGGGCAGAGTGAAAAAGCAACTGTCGGTTGGATTTCATCATAAGTAGCATAAGCATGAGGCGGATGTATAATCGATCGAGGTTAACATACAGGTTGGATAAACTGCTTCTAATTACCAAAGTTTAGTTTTCATGATTTCGGTAAACAAACTTCAGCTAAGTAGGATAAGTGTAATCAAACAAATTCTGTTGGATAGTTTGAAATTTAATATATGACCGAAACAGGGTTTACTCTTGAGATACAACATAAAATGACATAAGTAGTTTCTTGTATTTCAGTGAATAAACTGGTTAATACAAAGAAGTGATTATCTCTACATTATGAAGTATTGTCCGTGGATGTTGTAATTATTGTGGAAACTTGTTTAAATAATATGCAGCTGCATATACTTGAATGTAATATGAACTTATGCAACAAATACCTACTGATGGTACTTGCTAGCGAAAGTGACAATTAAAAAAAATTTCCTGAATGAATGATCAATTTCAGCAAAGTGAAAATTTCAAAAATCTTTTGACTCAACTATTATTATTCTGTGTAAAAAATTTTAGTTACTCGTATTGTTTAGATTCTCTTATAATAATAATAAGAACAACATTTAAACCACAGATTAGGTTAACTTTAATAGAATAATAAATTTTGATAATTGTTACTTAATTCTGTATCTGTTCAAAATACTTCGATTTGACATTAATGTATGATGATGAGAAAAAACAAAGGTGTAAATCATTTTATGGTAGAATTCGAACTAAATGGTTCGTTTATTTGAAAGACACAATGATTAATTATACAGCAGTATATATATATACATATATATATATATATATATATATATATATATATATATATATATATATATATATATATATATAAGAGAAATGTACCAGTGAATTGAACCAGTATACAAAATATGCTAATTCATTTAGAACGTCGACATTTTTTGCGCTTTGTCAAATTACACAACACACCATTTACACACAGCATGCAAGATATTTGAAGATTGAATAGATTGAACAATTAACCTACCAGAATAGAAATAAAACATTGAGTGAAATGCAAAATGGTGCTTACTGATCGCTTTCTTTTTTTTCTCATTTGTTTTATAAAACTATTCCAATATTCCATGGAATGCAAAATTAATTAATTATGTTTTAGTGATTAATAATTCATCATCATCAATGTTGTGTATTTCAATATTACTGACAAATTACAAACAGATTGTAAAAAGAAAAGAGAGAATTACTAATTCATCCAGCATAGATTTGAATTGGTTGAATGAAATCTTCACAATTTGATGAGATGTAAACAGTCACAAAGGCAAAGTAGATTTTTTTTTAACATTAGACTACTTCACCATTTTAAATTTTTAAAAAAATTATTCTCTATCATGTGTACTATAATTGGGAAAAATGTTTTCAGCTCTCAGCTGTACTGCAAATTGTTCACTGGAAAGACGTAAAATAGACATTTTATTGACAACTATCCTTATGTGACGAATGTGCCTGACTGAATTAAACAGAATGCAAGAAATTATGAGATATTACTAGAAGATATTACTAGAAGAAAACTTTCGGAAAAATGAGTTACAGTAGATAGTCATTTCATGAATTTATTTCTTGGATAAACTCTTTCTTACTGTACAAATGACTGATTAACTAGCGAACCAGTACAAAGGAGGTATTGAATGAGTAATTGTTTATAAACTGAGACCTCACAACACTGCACACAGACTATCATAGATTAAAACAGACTGTAACAGTTTGGTTTTTGATAAAATCAGGAAATATTTATATCAATACGTGCAATCTCAGTTGCTTACATACTAAGCTGAAAACGCTGCACTAAACAGCTGATATAATAAAGTATTAATATCAATGATATCTCTGTTAGCAGTAAAATAATTAGGCGTCATCATTTACATCTTTTCACCAGACCTATAGATATCTATATGGAATTTGTGTCAAACTGAACGAATCTTCAGTAATTATTTCATAGATCATTAGTTCAGTCGTGCTCGTACTTCAACACACATTGTATTCGTCTATATGAACGCTTGACAAAGTTTGGAACACAAAATAAAAGTTTAGTATGGGTGTGTTGATGACAATAGATCCTCAGAACTCACTTGATAAAGGTCCTAATTTCGGATTTCCCACCCGGAAAATCCCTACTTTTGTGGCTTTCCCAAGAACATTTCCATCATGTATAAGTAAACTCGATTTGTGTGCTTGAAAACCTTTCGTATCTTCTGGGTGCTTGTAGAGTACACTTTGTACGTCTTATCAAGACTTCTTCCTCTATTTAGTGGGGCTTGGGACGCTCGGATTAGAGTAGCCTATCGTGTCACTGGATCATTCGTCTTCGCTCTCGTTTATCGACTAAGGTGAACTCGTAATAGTTTCGAACAAATCAACTGACGAGCATAAAGGTTTAGGAGCTGATAAGATGTAGAAATATATTCGAGACAATCTAAAACATCGGAATTTAGATCATTTATGCCTTTTTGCTCGACTGTCCCATACAACGTTATTCCGAGAAATAATTAAACAAAGTTAAATAAAAATGTAAAAAAACAACCAACATGCGTGCTGTGAACAAATCAGCATCTAAAGATGATTGCGAAAATTTTTAGCACAGACTGGTTTATTTGGTAATTTGAATTCATTCTCTGCAAAACCTTGAACCATTTTTCTCTACACGTATGCAGAGTTATTTATTCGATTATTTTAAAAACGTAATTTTTTGCTAAATGTCATTGCATAGAAATTTTAAACATCAGTGCTATTTTGACTTGTTCTTAATTGTTTAAAGAGTAAGCTGAAGCAAACTATCGGTTGATTTGTTGGAAACAAGTTAAACAAACCTCATAGTTGTGCATGATTTTAAACTACTTTTTGTACAGGAGGATAATAGGTCACTAATTAATTGTCAGCCATTGTCATCTTTGTGATCGCATGTAATCCAATCTAAATTGATATGACTTTTTAACTGAAGTCAGTAAGTGGTTTAGAAAGCAACACATCAAACTATCATATGATATTTTAAATTTTTAGTTCAAATCGAACAAAGCAGATTTCCCCCTACCTTTTTTTTCATTATTTACTTATCCGTTTCAATCATCAATTCATAGATAGTTTAAAAAATTGACATATACTAAGTTCAATAAGTTGAATACAATAAAACTTTACTAGATTTTTTGGTGACTTAAACAAATCTATATGATGTTTACATTTCAGGATTGTTTAAGGATACAGCTATTTCATGATGAAACATTACTTTCATGTCGTCTCTAACTATTCATTCTATTTAATGATGTGAAAAGTATTTATAAATTACGAAACATATTCTTACCGATAATTCAAACCAGTTAGTGCAAATGAAGTACTTACTCGAAGAATCTATCTTTTTTAAGTGTGTAATGAATACTTAGAGTGAATTTGATTAATCTATAATTCCCATTATTTGCCATTGAAAGAATCCTGATATACTAGTCAGCTGATATGCTTGAAACTATTACAAGTTCACCTTAGTCGGTAAACGAGAGCGAAGACAAATTATCCAGTGTCACGATAGGCTACTCTAATTTGAGCGTCCCAAGCCCCACTAAGTAGAGGAACAAGTCTTGATATAGCGTAGAAAGCGTATTCTACATGTGTCCAGAAAATATGAGGTTTAAAAGCACACAAATCGAGTTTACTTATACATGATGGAAATGTCCTTGGGAGAGCCACAAAAATAGCGTACTAAAATAATTCATCAACCAATAACAGTCTAGGATTTGCCGGATGGGAAACGTAATCTCTAGGTCAACTGATCATCCCATGCACGAAAACACAAAATCCAAATTTAGGACCTTTATCAAGTGAGTTCCGGGGATCTATCTAATATCCCCAAAAATCCATAATATGAGTTATATCCTCTTTGTAACTTGACAATAGATCGAATCATTTCATTTCAGAATGTCGCAAATGGCTTAGTCGATTAATCGTGCCTAGAATTAAAAAAAGCATCCCTTGTACTAATTCACAAATAAGCCCAGAGCATAAAGTCAGACAATTGCTGTAAAGTTATTAAATAAAGTCATTTTGTTTAAACACAAGACACTGTGATTAATGATGATCATGTATTGCCGGGAGAAACAGACAGCGAGATAATCAGTATTCATGCTGAATATTAAATTGATTACCAGTTACGAAAAAAAAAGTTACAGATTAGTCTTATTTGCGATGTTAAAGATAAATTACGATCAGTAATTTATTAAATGATCATTACACAATATATATCAAATCATTCACATTGTCATTTATCAGCATGAGAATTACTTCATTATTTTTTTCCAAAGTGTTTTATTTTTTTTAATAGGAAAACTGTATACAGTCGAGCTAGTGCGGTGAAGAATAAACAGTCATTCGTCCGAATGAAATTTTGATTGAATCAAATAGATAATGTCAAGAGTCTAGAAGGCATTTTAAGAAATACCAGATTATTTCACAGAAAAACCAAGACTAGATAAGTCATACAGTTTTTTTTCACTGAATATAAATTAAATTAGTTGAAATGAATTCGGTTGCCAGTTGACAGTTTTAATATTGGCCAGAATTCAGGGACGAATTGAAGCGATTTGACTGAATGATCTCCAAGCAAAAAAAGTTTTAGTGGTTAATAATTCTCGACACTTTAATTAAGCAATCACTGGGGATTGTTTCAAGTCTTTATTGATAAAATACAATGATTCGATAACCAATCGCTATATATGTATAGACCAGCGTTATTATGGTTGCTTAACTCCATGCTTCATGTTGAGTTATTTTTCACTGTTCTGTTATTTCGTACATACACTGCATGCACTCTATTGTTTGAAATTTACCAAATTTACCAAATGAATTCTTTTCCAGTTAAGCGCTGATGAAAATAATCTCTGGTTTAAATGGCTGACAGACTTTTTTTTCTAATCCTAATCTTTCTTTTCTCTTTTTTCGAATTAGAAATTATTACTGAATTTACATGTGTTAACATTTTAACATGCTGACTACGTGTGGACTTATTTTATTCACATATTATTTTACTGTTTCACGGAAAACTCATTAAAAATGACTGACAGTAACAGTTTTACATGTTTCCTTTTTTTCGACATAAAAAAAAGAGAAAATGCATTCCAGTCTATTGATTTGGGAAATTTTTTTATAAATGACTAATTTATTTTATGATAGAAGCTATTTGCTTGCATAGATTGCTTGTAAAAGTGGCTTTCAATTTACTTAACAGACTGGTAACTCACTAGACAATAGAGACAGTGAAATTATTGTTTTAGTCCTGTCATGATGTAAATTCAGCAATGAGCACTAGCTACTCTTACTGAGAATGGAATCTGCACGTTCAGTTCTCTTTTAAAAAATCAAGTTATCGTTCGTAACAGTCAGTCATTCAGGTACAACATGGAACATCATACGTACGTACATGACTTCAAGTTGCCATACTATAATAGCACAGATGTGCAATTGTCGATTAAAAAATCCCATAGTAGTAGAGGTGGTAGGAGTGTTAGTAGTAATCAAAAAGATTTGGGTTCGAAGCAATATGACCCAGAAAAACAAAATTAAAAAGCGAGAAGAAAAAGTACTGAGTTCATAATGTTATCAGAAAAGCCGAAGTACGGATGCACCTGACCCATCACAAACGATTTCGAGCCATGTCATTCTAGGTCTCTAACAATTGGTTACTATCATCTCAAGGACTCCAACCAAGTAGTATACACCTATTAACATTGCTCAGTTCAGTTGTCAGTAACTTCATGGATTCGTCCCATTTTTGGTTTGGCCGCCCCCGACTTTCTTCCAGCATACCCACTATTGTTCGAAACACCGTTTCGCTATCTAATTTTCGATATTTCCACCACGTTCTTTTGAAACACTACATAATTGTCGTTTGTTTTCACTGGCGCCACAGATAATACTTTGAAAATTGTCGGACTTCGTTGGTTACAGACTACTATTGAACAAATTTCCGGTACTCTCGTCTTTCTGGAGGTTATCTAACTAAAGTCACCCAGTGATGTAAATAAAATTATCTTTATACTAAAATTAACGATCTACTCACTAGTAAGTTCTAATGTTCGGTGCTTCGAATTTTCAGTTGTTGTCCAGCCATCGTAAATTACAGTAGTAATTATCCTATTTAGCTGAATCTGTTTTAGTCACAGATGACCTGAAATAAATTTCATTGAATACCGTTGAAACCGGAGTTATTTAAACTAGTGTCTCAACAGTGTCTCTAATAGTACGTTTATTATATTTTTAGACACTAGTCTCAAGTGAGACGAAGTATTTGTTTTTTATTTCACTGTTACTCATCATTTAGAAACCATTAATTTATTTGATGATTTCGAAATTAAAATTACGGTGTACTTCTATGTATAATAAAATTTTAGTATTTAAAAGTAATTACAGCTCTTCGATTGAATGTGCATAATTTTCTTCCACTTACATATAAATGTAGTAAAGTTTTGAGCTAATGATTTTCAGATAGTTGAATTAAGAAAGCTCAGTGAATTGTATATCGATAGAATATTATGATCATGACTGACAGATTTTCTGTCTAAAAATGCATTACTTACCTAAATACAATAGTAACAAATGATTTGGTTGTGAAAATTGGTTGTGTAGGAAAATGATGCTGACAAAGACCTCTTTCACCGCCAGCTTCAGACTAAAATTAGAGATATAACAAAAAACATTAGATTCCATAAAAAAATTTAAAAATGTTACAACAGTGGAATGATAAGCAGAAATTTTATAAAAATGACAGTTGATTTGTTTCTGCCAAACATTTTTTTAATGGCATAATAAGGGAGAAGTGTTTGGACGGTTCTTTTAATTGTAAAAATGGATACTAGTGAAGGAATATATTTGAACTCACTTTAAAGAGTCCTTTATCACTGATTTAAAATCAAAGCAAAAATGACTTAGTGGACCATATAAGTACTTGAAAGGTATTTTGTCGCTTCTCTCTGTACTTTTAAAATTCTCGTTATTTATCAGAAATGAAAATGAAACTTACTCAGTTAGAAAGGAAAAAGTACATAAATTCGCATTATTGAATCATTTATCCATGTAATTGGATATAAACTGCACTCTATTTGTAACGGCTGATGTAACTACCCTAACCGAAGTATGTGAAGCAAAGTTCAAACTTGTTACAGAGTGACTGAAAAGGGAACTTCTTAAGCACTGTCCATATGCTTAAGGAATAAGTATTTTCTAAATAATACAACATATTTCATAACTCATTCGTGAAATAAATACTACAGAAAGCCTAGTTTATCACAGACGACGAGACAAACAAACGACTTTTGAAACTTAAAAACCGATCCTCCAAGAATACTAAATTCGCATACTAAACCAGATATTACAAACTTGTACTAGGATCAACATATTTACAGTTGTCTCAAGCATACAATCGCTAGTAAAATTCATCATCATTTGCTTTCATGAAATCAATGTCAATTGATTCGTCAAATACATCTTTACCCCGTCAAACTATCAAGACTGTTTTAGTAAGATCAAAATCACAAACTAATCTATCCACCTAAACATCCGATACTTTTCATCATCTGGCAATTGACATTGGCAAATTTTATTAAAAATTCCAATCACAAGAAACACGCCTTATTTATTTTAGAATACACAAAAGATACTTGATTCAGTTTGCATGATAATAAAATAAGTTAGATGTGAAATACAACTAACTACTTAAATAAGTCATGCTAATTCAGAACTACCGGAAATTAATTTTTTTAACTGATATCAGTGATAATTGAGCTATGTATAGTGTCCACTTGATTAATGAAATGAAGCAATAAACGGTACTTGAAACTAATTCCAAAATCAATCCACCTAATTCAGTGTGACAGGGAGAATAATTAGAAAACCTATTGGTGCTTAAACTATTGCAGTCATGACTGTGCCGTGAAATCGAAAGCAGAGTAATTTAAAATAAATACTGTCTCATTTTATGATAAAGACGGAAGAAGCAAAAATAGAGATACAGACAAAAAATAAAAAAGTAACTTGTAGAATTCAAACTTAATGTTTATCTTGGGCATTTTTTTATCAAATCGCTAACTAAAGTATCTTGATAATGAGAAAATGCAGGTAGTTTATTTATATAACTCTTCTGAATATGAGGGATCAACCTTCCATATGTATTGGAAAATAGTTGAACATTCCATCTCCGACAGGATCGTGAAGGAGCGATACTGATAAGCATTAAAATATGAATAACACAGTTGTCCAGTTGTCGCTATTTTTCAGTAGATCTTCAATTAAGATAAGTAATCTATTTAATATATTTCCTGTTTGCAATGGCAGAGGTTTTATGAAATTATAACCTTTTGACTTGCTCATCACCTCTATCTTTCTCTTTCTAAATTTACTTCACTGAATTATACTTCTTTAATAACATCTTCAAACCCTTATCTCTCCGATTACGTCTAATAATTTTACTACCTCTACTACTATGGGATTTGAATTGACAATTATATCTCTGTGCTAACGTGGTATAGCAACTTGAACTGATGTACTTACGTGCAAAGTTCTACGTTGCTGTTGATAATGAAGATGATTTATGTAGGTATTTGAATGCTAATTAATTCGACATCATACTTTCACCACTCACTTTACATCAATTCACTCTCTGAATAAATAGCAAAATTGTTTACTTTGATAGAACAAAAAATAAGCGTAGACTACATGTCTGAATATTCGTCGAAAAATTCCAGATAAACATATTCCCACCTATTCTAGTCACAATGTGTAATGTTGTCACACTAGTCATTAGTTTTAATCAGCTGATTCGTTTTCCACTGATAATGTTTACAATAACAATGTTTAGTATGATGTTTCTGTTTGAATTATTAACAAATCAAATTTAAATCTATCAAGCTTAAAATAACAAGACTAAGATTTACAATGTGAATTTCAGTGATATATATACGCGAAAGTTCCCAATTGCTTACTTTTTCTTCGTTTTACACTACCATTTAAATCATATTGCACAAAAGCCATTCACTTCAATTTTGTCAGTTGGTTTTTCAATGGATTTTTGAAATATGACAAATTTTAATTAGTGTTTTTTTACTATTTCTTTTCTCAGTCAGCATGCATGACTACATTAGTTCCTGTTCTTAGTCTGTATGTATTCAGACAACAAGGTACATGTCAGTCTACAGTCAACAAAACGATCATACATTAGACAAGCGTCATGTGGTCTCCTCTATTCACTTTGGATTAGTTTAGGTTTTTCTCTACTTTTTTTTTCTCAAAGATTGACTTATGTTATTTTCAGTGCAGAAAGAAAAAAAATGGCAAATTAAAAAAAATCTAATCTCTTATTATTCTTTTTTACTTTTTTACTAAAGTAAATCCAAAAAAAATAGTTAGTGTTGTGTAAGAAGTTTTCTTTTTTTTTTTAAATCTAACTGCTAATCACAACAACTTACAACCAGTGTCTCATGTTCATTTAACAGAATACTAATTGTTATTTTACTTGCTTCTACAGGGAAGAAATATGCCCTAGTGCTCTGAAAAATTTTTTTTAGTGGTTGCAGGGGAATGAATTATGTTTTCACAATGTACCAGTCTTCAGTCAGTTTAAAAGTGAAATAGCCACCGAAATCTAAAAATGCCTTGTTTATATTTCTTAAAGTGCAAACCTCGTTTCAAACCTCGTTCCTTTCAAGTGAATCATATTGTATGTGAATCACGATAAACAAATAAAAGACAAGTTAATTATTGTTCAGAGCCAACGTTAACCAAAGTAACTTTTTATTAGAAAAGAAAATAATTCAAATCTCATGTACATTCAATATTTGTTTCAGCATGATTTCCTGAACTAATCTGATCAACAGTAAAAAGAAGTTATTTCCGGATTATAAAAAAACCAGACAATAAGTGTTTGAATTCCCCAAGGGAGAATCAATCTCTTTGAAATTCCAGCATGGCTTGTTGACGAGAAACAGCTATCACGTCGACTAAATCAAAGGTGTTATAACTGACAATCTTCATCTACCCCTGCTGTTGATCCAAGTAAGAGGGAAATTCAGAAATTAAAAAATATCTGAGTGGACTGGTTAATATTTATATATATCTAAACTCAAGTAAACATATGTGAAATAAAAGTGAATAATTTTTAAACAATCTAACACATTTCATTCTGATAAGTTCTCTGACTAATTTTAAGACAAAGATTTACAACGAATGTATGATAGTTAGTAATTATATCAGCAAAAGCTGATCAACTCCACTCAATGACTACTATAACGTAGAATCTCAGTTTCTTCTAAGGTACTATTTATCTATTACAGTAATAGGGCATTCGTCAAACATTAAGCATATCCTGAATTTTTTTTAAGGCCACCGGATTCAGCTTAAAGTTTACTGTAACAATTAACACTCCGATCCAATCACCCAGCAACAACTGAGCTTCGAATAAAAAAAATGTAACTGGTTCATACCATATCCTGCTTTACAAAAGTAACTAGAAATGTTAATTGTTGTCTTACTGAAGGGGTCAACCGATGTCTATATATATATATATATATATATATATATATATATATATATATATATATATATATATATATATATATATATATATATATATATATTCGTTAAACTGTTTTTAGTGAGAATTACTTGATTATTGTGTACAAAATTGAGTGAGCATTCAAAAAAATGCTTATTTAACAGTCTCATAAAACCCAGTTAGTCATCTCTCTCTATGCTTGTCATTTATGTCCACCATTAGATAAAATCAGAAGGAGAATCAGTTTATTACAATTATTCATAATGAATTATTCAATACTTAAAATGTTTAGTTTGCTAGAAAAAAAATGAAAACGTTTTTTTTTTTGTTTGAAAAATAAAAAAATTGAATTTCATCACAAAAGTTCCAATGTGATGTTAATCGGTAATTTGAAATGCACTGACAAATAAAGATTTAATTTCGAGGCATTAGTGTTTCCCTTTTTATCGAAGTCTTGTCATCCAACAGTGAATGTAACCGTATTCCAATGAATAATTTTTTTTAGAATAAAAAATTAACAACCATATTCCAATGGTTATTTGACAGAAGTAAAAACAAATCTCATCCTGTGCTAAAATGTCAAACACTTCAACACATTAGAAACCGATGAAAACAAAAATAAAGGGAGGCATTTTTTTTTTCAAAAGAGCAAATATTATTCATCATGATCATGGATATAATCATAATGCAACCAAATGAACTCACCATAGCACGATATTGTGGTGTATTAGAATCGAATAGGTATAAATAATTTTCATCGCATAATAAACGTTGTTGTGATGGTATGTAGAATGATTGAAATCTAATCATGATACGTGAATTCACACGAGAATGCACATAAATTTCACAACTAAAATTCACTGGATACTTATGATCAATAGGGTTGTTTGAATTGTAATCATCTGTCAGAGTTGAAGTGAATGGTGTAGACAGTTTCGTTCGCGTTGTCGCAGTTGTTGCGGTTGTTGCGGTTGTTGCAGTTGACGCTGTTGTTGACATTGTGGAGATAAGTGGAGCTTTTCGATTTTTATGAGTAATAGACGATTGTAGAGGATTAGGTTGATCAGCTGTTACCAATTTACCGAATAATTTGACTGACTTTTCCGAATTATCCACATTGTTTCTATGGTTTTGTTTAATTGAGTTTGATTTTACATTTGATTGATGAAAATTATCATATATGTGAGCATAATTTGGATGAGAATAGATTACAGCTCCAGTCAATTCAAAGTATAATCGTTTTGTTGTCAATCCTGGTATATAATGACAGTGTTGAGATAAATAATCTAAATTTCAACGAAATAAAAATAATAGTAATTATCAGTAGTATTTAAAATATTGTCAACATATAAACTAGGAGACTGTTTAGAGGAAAAAAGCCTGCACAGAAATAATATATTAACGTAAACTCATTGTACTATTTGAACAGAAGTCTAACATTCATTTACAACAGTTTCTTAATGGCTGTTAGCAACCGGAAATAAAAAAAAAGAAACTCTTTTGCGACTGACTTTGGAAAACGAATCAGTTCGAATAAATTATCGATTATCATCAGCTTCTCTTGTCATTTTAGTAGCATGTGTTTATTAGTTTTATGAGAGTAACGATTTATAAACCAATTCGATCTGTTAAACTGTTATACTGAAAACAGTGTTTTGTTTCTAAAATCCATAAACACATTATGAATGCATGTAAACTTACGTTGATGCTCTGTGTACCATAATACATTGTCAATTAATAATTGTTGAAAAATATCTATTAGAAAATGTATGGTACTTTTTATCCTTAGGAAAAAGTTGTCAGTGATTTACAAGAGCAAGTGAATGAGGTCAACATGTTATAAGAACAAATAAATTCTGTTTTTTACTGACTACTTTAAATATTATTAAAAAGCGATGATATTTTTGTCCATTGAAAATGTGTATATATCATCATTATCAACACAGAATATTATGATTATCCATAGTTTTTCAAAATTCATATATATACATTAGAATTTTATTAGCAATTGTTGATTGTTGATAAAACACCTATCAAGTATTTTTCTATGATAGCAGTACTGTTTTTAAGTTAATTTCTTTATTGTTAGCTATTGTCGATTGATAAATAGCTATTTTCAACTTTTACGTAATTTGAAATACACCAATATACTTGTTAGGGGACGTGAGATCCCCAGCCACGCTTGATAAATGCCTTAATTTTGGATTTTATGTTTCCGAGCATGGGCTGATCGGCTGACCTGGAGACTACATTTCCCACATGGAAAATCGTTGACTGTTATTGGTTGATGTGTTATTTTAGTACGCTCTATTTGTGGCTATCCCAAGAACGTTTCTATGATGTATGAATAAACGAAATTTGTGTGCTTGAATTCATTGTGCTTGCTGAGTGTTTGTGGAATATACTTTCTACGCTATATCAAGCTTTCTCGTTAGCTGTTTGGGGTCAACGGATCAGAGTAGCCTACCTGGACACTGGTTCATTGTCTTGTTCTCCCGTAATAGTTTCAAGCATACCTAGTGACGAACTTAACAATACTGTACATCAATCGCTAACATTTAAGAACACTAAAATAAAAATTGTCATGTAGATATTTGCACCCTCTTTAAATATCTGGTCTACCTGTTTCCTAACAAGGAAATATTCTAAGACGTTACCACTTTCTATTTGTTTTAATACGTCAATCATGTCTATTAATTGCCTAATCTATTCAGGCCAGGCTATAAAGAGTCAACGTGCCATCAACTGACAAGGTACAATAAAGTACAATCTGAGACATCTAGGTAGCTGGTAATTTTCTTATTCTATTTGGGAGGATAAACAAATCGTTGATGATCGTGATTGCTAATTCAAAACAATACCTGTTACTTGGGGACACTAGTAAGCGTTTTCAAACGAATCTTATTTGTTAATTATTGAATTCAGATCTGATTATGCAAATAATCGCACATTTCGACACAAACGCTTGAAAAACTTCAATTAATACATGCACTTTGTACTGTGCCTGCCCTCATGACAATAACTTTTATTACGTAATTTGTAAGGAAATTTATAAAATGAAGCTTTCGTGAACTGTGTCCATTAATGATATTAATTTAGGAAAGCGTAAGACTGTGTGCGAACTGACCGACATTTTAAGTATCGAACTTGTACTAAGCTTGTCGTTATTATCACATTTATGGCAAGACTGTAATATTTTTATCAAATGTTAATGTAGACTATTTTATTCGTAGTATTTAGAGAGGCCATAAAAGTAGCATTAACCAGTGGTCTGTTGCTTTTTATCGTTAAATGGTTCTCTAAATGTGATGCTCTATTTTCAATCTTCAAAAATTTATAGCAAAAAAAAAGGAACACAAGGAAAAACTTATTCATCATATTTGACACACTAAAACAATTGGAGGTCAAATATTTACAAATGCGATTCATTTTTAAATGCAACTGTTTCATTTAAACGTTTGTCAAATAACCATAGACATTGGTTGACCTCTTCAATGGGACAAAAATTAACATTTCTAGTTACTTTTGTAAAGTCAGTAACATTTTTAAAACGTGCATATCTACTAGCCAATGTACAGTAAACAGAAAATAAAATAAACTTAACTAATAATTATGTTTTACAACACTAACAAATGCTTTGTATTTCCTAATTCACAATAATTTAATCGTGATGATTCATGTGTAAACAACATAAGGTCATTGTGATGGCTTCTTGATTATAACAAAATAAAATGAAAAAAAATACTAACATCAGGATGATGAAGCATGCATATATGAATGTAGACAGTTCTGCGTTAAAGGAGGAGGAGGAGGTTATCAACTGACTAATAAACAAAAACTACACAAGAAATGACGAAAATCAACGACTAAAAGACAGACCATGTCTGTTCATTTTTATTTTTCTATGATATTTGTTAATTTTGTCAACATTCAACATTATTGTTCACGATATAGTTAGTTATTTTCTTTTTTATTTTATTTTGGAGGCTCAATTATTCATCACTGCTTTTGCAAAAGCTTTTTCACTTAATATTTTCGTTTGAAGGACAGTGTTGTATATGAAAGTGTGTGCATGTTTAGAAAGTGTATGACTAAAGTTTATAAGATGGAGGATTGGATTGAGTGACGTTTCGATGAATACAGTTAGTAAACCCTAGAGAGAGAACAAAAGCATAAAATATGGATGAGAAGATAAGCAGAAACAGGAGTAAGAGAGTATTTTGGAAGAAAAAATAATACACCCACTACACTATTGTATGAATATGACGACAATATAATAACAACTATAGTGCTTTTCTTGTATCCATTTACATGTTTGTCACAGCATATGGCTGATTTGTGAAAAAAAATGCGAAAACTGTATTGCAGTCAATGTTTTGTTCTGACATAAACTTTTCGAGAGGGTGATGCCTCAGAAAAAGTCACTGAATAGTTCTCCTACTGTTTTACCGTTTTCAACATACAGAGTTTCAGATATTTTTATTCAAATTACATCAAACTGCAGAATTTAAAGATGATATCTTTATATCTTCAACAAATTTCTGGCATTTTACCAAAAACCGAAAATGATTTTTAGTGATAAGTCTCACAGATTAATTACAACATTTCTATGACACCTGATTGTATGATTGTTTTTATGGTGTATACAATACGCTTTTCATAAATGCACTTACTGAGAATGTACAAAGTTGATGATTGTGAGTGAGTTTATAAACTGTAAGATGAAATTTCTTAAATGATTATGGTGATTATAGTATCACTGGAAAAAAACTAAAACAAGCAAGTTGATATTTCTGTTCGTTTTATTTTGAAATTTGTATGTTATCGTTAATTTTGAAAGTTCCCCATCTCAAACTAGGTGCTTTGTATCTCATCATCTATTAACCGCTACGAATAAGACTGTTCAGCTTTTAATCAAGTTGAATAAAAAGTTTGTAAATAAATTATTTGGTGCCTGTACAGATACTCTCAACTGAAACCTGTGAAATTTTACATTAAGCTTTACGTGAAAATGAAGGATTTCAATCAGTATATTTTCTTACAGTGATTTTATCAAAGTTTAAATTGTTTAAGAAATTTTCGCTTCACTTACAGTACACAAGAAAATAAACTAACTGAAACATAATGTGTTGTTAGTTATGATTGATCTAAATGGAATATAAACCAAAGAATCTTTCTTTCTGCCTTAAAGGAATGCAGCTCCATCAGAATACTCTACCCAAGCTTTAAAGTTTCTTCACCACCTCAAAGTCCTTACTTACGAATAAATGTTTGTTTAATCCACAACACGCTGATCAATCTCAGAAGAGGTTATACTAGAAGAACCTTTAACTTTTTTTATATTGATCTACAAATAAGCATATAAGAAGTCAAATAATTCTTTTTTTCTCAGTTTATAATCATTCAAGTTTGACTAAACAATGTACCTTTTAAGCAAATTGTCTACTGCATTCATATCATCCGGATTTGCATTAATTTTTCTCTGTCAACTGATGCATATAATTCATTCGTGTTTATCACATATCAACAACACCAAGTATTATTCATCTTATGTTTATGCAGTTTCAAATGATTTGTAATTAAGACAAAACAAAAAGCAAACTAATATACAAAAAAAGTTAATCAGTAAAAGTATCATTGAACTAGCTACTTTCCTAACTTTATTCATTTACTAGGGAAAGCTGTATGTTTTTTTTTCTACCAATTAGATTAGAGCGTTTTTCATTCATGTTTCGTATATATATATTTGTCAAGTGGATATTACAACTAATAAACAATAACCAAACTAAGCAACACTATCAACACAATTAATTTATGTCAAATACAGAGCAAACGTTGGGAAAGAATACATTTCAATAACAGTTCAATGCATCTAAATAGTATGCTGTATGAAACAGTTGTTAGTATTTTTCTCCGTCCAGACAAACATTACACTATCAATAACCAGAATAACAAAAACAAACAGCTTATGAGGAGTATTTCTAATGACTGAATAGAAATGCATTTAAATTTGGTGCCAAAACCGATTCATTACATTACAAATAGTTACATGTTATAATTACACGTGATAATAAACAACAAGCTTGACAATATGTTATCGATGATTATACAAGTCTGTTTATACCTTATCTGAAGAAGGTTTCTACATCTTTTACGAAGACTAATCTATTGAGATAGTTAAACATAGCTAGATTTTTGAAATCAAAACAAACACACTAATCATATGATGTATGTGACTAATTTAAATATTAAAAGAATTGTTTTTTAAGATTAAACTGTACTCGACTAAATCATTATTGATAGTGAAGAAAGTATTCGTTTGTTTGTCAGAACATGGTTTTTATCACTTAGAAATCTATTATAATATTACACGTATTATGTCTCTGTGTAAACTCAATCAGTTGTTCATGGTGTTTATCAGATGAAGATCATTGAGTTTAGTGTGTTTAGACAAAACTTTATACGATTAATGCCATCATCATTTAATGAACTGGACATAATCAACTTTCATAATAAGTAAACTGCACATAAGAACAAATGAAATTATGTAAGCTACATTAATAGCAACAAGGTAATGTTAAACATTTCCACTGGAAGTAGAAGAAAACAACATTTCATTTTGATCATTGTAAGTAGTCAAAATTTTCCCAAAACTAATTACATAGTCTCCACATCGAAAT